GTCAGTTTCACCTCGACGTCAGTCCTTTCTGTGCTATCAACTGACGACATCTATAGGAAGTGGCTGGTCCAACAACGCATTTGCCCCTGGCGGTCACCATCGTGCGCATACCTCTCGGCCCGTGACGATACGACTGCTGGTCATCCAGGCCTGCAAGCAACTCAACATGATGAGCCCTTCCAAAGGAGCCAGTGGGTACCATGATGTGAAAGTTGTCCTTCGTCAGGTCGACCAGCTACGGCCAGTCAACGAGCCCCCAATCTCGTTGAAGGAAATGCTGGACATCTGCGACACCGAAGGCAACTCGCAGAACGGAGGCGGATCGTTCTCAATCAGGAGCGATGAAACGGGCGAATGTGTCAAGTTCGAGCCGGACACGAACAGTGCGTCCTCAGGTCACAGAGGCAGCATCGTGCCCGGGGAAATCGGCAGTCCGGTTCCCAGTAGCAGTCTTCCAGCGTTTGGCGGAATCGGCTCATCGACACCATCAGTGCTACGGCAATTCTCTTCCCCTACGGGTTTCTAGGCTTTCAGTTGCAATGGCACGAGAAACACTGATGACAGACATTCTCACTTTCTTCCCTTGCCCGTCTCCCGATCCTTCTCCATCAATTCCTCCTACTCCACTGAATGAAAGCGTCCATCATGTCATCACCCCTCTTCTTTCTCTTCCATCCTCGTCCCTATCTTCCTCAAACCTCCCTCCTCGCTTCTTCTCTTGATGGATTCTTCATGTTCTGAGTTCCCTTTTCCATCTTCTCTTCCTACGCACATTGAACGGACATCAATCATGTCATGTACGTTACGTTGTTCTCTTCTTTTTGCTTGTTTGTTTCTTGCACCGCTCCCCACCGAAATTCAGGTGGTGTTCTGAAAGTGAAACCCCCATTTCTTGTTTGTTTTCCTTTCTCTTTTATGTAGCGATTCCCAAGGAGCAAATTCCCATGCTCCCAAATACCTCATGTTCGTTTGAAACTCCGTGTTAAAACAATTGCATGATGCGAATCGGATCTCTAGGGCGGTCAATCGATTGACTGGTCCTGATCGTTCCGTACTCTTAAACTTTCTACTACTACTACTACTTCTTCTTCTTTCATCTCTCGCCTGTTGCTTTGATCAGTGGGGTTATTGTAGAGTTTTGTAGAGACTAGATAAGGTAGTGGGTATCGATTAGTTCGGTAGTAGTTGTTGTATGTAGATGAATCGTAGAGAGGAATACTAGTGAAATACGCTTCCATGAATGTTTGTACTACTTATGTCATCCTACATACGAGAGGTAGTTGATTAGCAGATAGTTAATTGCCTGCTAAGCGCCATGTTTTGGGTGTCTTCATTAGCTAAGTTCTTCTGAAGTAGAATCCTAGGGATGCTCGCTACAAGCAGTGCCGATAAAAGTAGGAGTGAATATAATAACAGCAGAAATATAATATAAGTAGGATAAGATCAAGCTTTCTATCGGAGATCAAATTTTCCTCCCTAGTAACTATAAGAAAGGTAGGAAGTAGGAAGTAGGTAGAAAGAAGGAGAAAGGGTATGATAATGATGATGATACACTGATTGATATATTCGACTCAAAAGGAGGGCGGAGACATAAAGCAGGTAAAGAAGAGGTAGGGGTAGGGTGATTCGGTTCGTAAGGGGGGGAGAGAGAGAGAACGGAAAGGGAATCTTACACGCGCGAGGCTGGAAGAAGAGAAAACAGGCAAACGGATGTCAGGGGACACATGGCTGGTGTTGGTGGTGGTAGGTAACATCGCTCATTCATACGGGAGGGTCATGCAATTTCACTGTCTGGGATCGGTGACTACGCCTTCGAAATCTCGGGATCGGATGTACTCCAGTGTGCGCTGGAAGTGCCGCTTCGGGCCCTCCAGGCTGGGGTTGGGCTCATTTTCGTCTGTCTGGAGGTTCGAGTGGATGAGTTCGATAAGGCCGTTGAGGTATTTGATCGTGACGGTTTCGTTCTGTTGGTCGAAGTAGTAGACGTAGCGGTTGAGGATCTCGACGAAGAGCTCCACGGACACGGCAGTGTCCATGCAGGCGTCTGCGACGCGGAGGGCCCGTTGAAGGCACTCGAGGACGCGCTTGCCGTCGCGGTAGAGCTATTCGGTGTTAGAAGTTGATTGAGAGCTGCACTAGATGAAGAGGTGGACTTACATTCTTGGGATCTTCCTCGCCCCGTTGAGGGTTCTCAACAACCCACCACAGGTGACTGGCTAGGTACACAGCGCGACATTGGTCGGGCTTCTTCAGCAGCTTGCTTCCATGCAGAGCGGCCTTGGTAATGAGGGTATCATAGTTCTCCTTGGAAAATCCGCGGGTGCCGTGGAGTGCTCCCGCAATGATACAGACGGCCTGGAACTGAGCACGCGAGTCGCTGATGGAGTCCTCGTAGATAGTGAAGGCTTGCGCAAAGAACTCGTAGCTGAACTCTTCGAAGCCCGTTTGGTCCGCCACTTCTCCGCACATCACAAACAGGCGCAGGGATAGATCAGCGCAACCAGGGTTCACACGCTGGTAGAGGTTGTTGACACACTGGTGCATAAACCGGTAAAGGGCTGAGGACTGAGATTGCCAGTTGTCATCGTAGTGCTCGCGGGCCTTGAGTTTACGTGCCAGACGGATCGAACTCGTGACCAGGGCTGGCGTCGTGTATCGGATACGCTCGTTGCCGTCGAGATAAGCCTTGCGAGTTGCTTGGAGTAACTTTTAAGGAACAGAAGTTAGTGGCAGACATATATAGTGCAGAAAAAAAGTAATCAATCACCTTCAACTGGGTATCATTGTCCTTGGCCTGGATCAGATGGACCAGGCGTGCAAGCCATCCTTGTTCCTCGATGGTCTCATCAGTCTCACCTCGCCGCTGAGACTGTATGCCAGGATAGCCCATAGACTGCTGAGTGCCTTCCTTGATCAAAACCCTTAGGGCTTGCAGAACGCGGTCGAGGTTCTCGGTAGTCGTGATGAAAGTTCGGTTCTTGAGAAGACTGCGAGCGATTTCGCCTGCGACAGCTCGCCGGGTCGTATAGGATTGCGAAGTCAGAAGTGGGATGTAGTGAGGCAGTGCAAGAGCCGTGAATATGGAGGCGTAGGAACGGAGAGGTGCGGTAAGGAGATGCAAGAGGTTCTGCTGTGTCGGGGCAGAGTGCAGGTCGGCGTGATCAGCATACGTCGCAGTCTCTCGAGTTGCAAAGTCGAGGATCTGGTCGACAAATTCTAGGCGATCCGGGTAGGTGTTAAGAGCCAGGTTGACAAGCGAAACCAGGAGCGCCATTGTGTCTTGAATAGGGAGGCCGCGGCTCTTGATCAGGTTAACCACTTGCTCATAGAAGATGTCGTACAGCTTGACATCTGCAGGGATTCCAGCCTTGTCGTCGCCATTCGCCGTGGATTCGCCTTCTGTCGCAGCTTCACCCTGTTCAGCATTATCCGTTGCGGCTTCCTCCACGCCGTTCTCCTGGGTTGCTTCTTCCGGCGCTTGCTTCTTGGTCTCTTCGGATACCTTGAGGTTCCCAAGGAGCTTCGTGACAGCCTCCTCTTCCTTCTTAATTCTTGCATCGGGCTCGGCGGACGATTCGGTCTCACGAGCTGCATGAGCCGACAAGCGGTCCATCAAACCAATGACAATCTTCTTCAGATCCACATGGGGGTTGAGTCGAGAAATTGCGGAGAGCAGGAGATCGAGGGTGTGCAAGTGAAACTCATCGGGGAACACCTTGGTGATGACTGCACCGTCAATTAGCATGCCAGGCTTTCGATATACAATTGCGTCATTTTACCTTCAAGGAGATACTCCTGCGCCAAAACATCACGACACTGGACGACCTGCTCCAGCAGTGCCTGTAGTATACCGGATTTGTATCCCTCCAGATCCACCAACTGGCTGAGTCGCACAACGTTGCTACCAACAAGCAGCTCCAGTTCCCGGCGCTCCTGCATCCGCTTCTCGCGCTCGCGCGAAGGGCCCTGGTGCTGGAGTCGCACCCACAGCTTGTTCATCTCGACGAAGTTTGTCAAGACGAAGCTGATCGAATCCTGCAAATTGCCCTCCGGACCATCACCAGAGCCCGTCGGCAAGTGGTCTCTAGCCTGTCCGGACAGATAATACCGCAGGAACAGGCCGCGGATGGGATGCTGCACACCTCGACTCATCTCCATCATATCCTTCATAATCTCTTTGACCGGAGCATCCTCCACAGACATGTATACCGTTCCTACGGTAATCATGAGATAGAGTCGCGGAATGATGTTTCCGGCATATTGAACAAGTTCGTACAAATCCGCCAGATGGTTGACCGGGTGGTTCTCTTTCAGGTAGACGGAGAGGTGTCGCAGGGCATCAAAGACGGCCATGTACAGTTCGTAGTATTGCTTCGGGCCAAGGCTAGGGGTTCGTAGCTCGGATACCAAGGTAGACCTGAAGCAATTGACAGAAGATATCAGTTATCTCGACCCCAATTCCATTGCTGCCTGGAGTATCCGAAGCTCAAGCTTACCCGCATTTCAACGCATCCATTAATTTCCCCGGAGTTTCCAAGCACTTTCGCATCATCTGCGACTGTTGCCGCACGACTCCCAATGCCTCCTCAAGGAGACGGCTCTGGTCTTCGGGGGCCGCTACCGGGGTGGCCATGGCGGATGTGAGGCGATGATGTGAGGGGAGTCGGACTCAGTGGCTTGAATCGGGCGGTAAACACCTGGTCGGAAAGGGGGAGGGGCGGAAAGGGGAATTCGAGGATGGGAGCAACAGAAAAGGACGATGCGCTAGAATGTCAGGCGGAGATCCAAACAGCTCCTGATCCATAGACAGGAGTACGATAAAAGGGACAGTAGGAGCAGGAGAACGTGGGAGAGGATGGGGAAGGTGAATGCGAATGCGGACATGCGATCAGAATGCCAGTTAGTTTACGGCCTGGGCGTGGGTTATGTAATCCCGGCCCCATGCTGTACGTCACGCTTAATTTACTTGAACTACTATAACTATAAAATAAGATATCCAGTTCTTCGAATATTCATCCATTCATTCCATCTTTTCATGCAATCTATCCTATAACTGTAAAACCCGACCACAATCTAGACCTAGTACGTACCCGAAATCGAATGAAAGCAATCGCTCCCCTACATAAAACCAACAATAGCCTTTCCCACAAGAGAGCATGAAACCATCTGAGAACCATAAGGAAAAAAGCAAAGGAAGGAAGGAAAAAGGAATAACAAACGCCCCCATAGATGCATGCTATCATGACCATAATCACCAACCATGGCAGTCATGACATATCGTGACGATGCAAAAACCGAAATTCGTGAAAGAAACGCATGTTCATTATCCATCAAAATTCATGAAATGTTTTCATACTAGTCGTTGGCGACGGTTTTTCAACCTGCAGAACGATATGGCAGGACCTGATTAAGCGTCACCTTGGCACCTGAAGATGACTCTACGCCTGAGAATCTGTGTGGTTCAGGCCCCTAGCGTGAGGCCTGGAAGACATAACGGCGGTGTCAGAGGGGGTGTCATTGAACGCCCGCGCCTGCAAAGCTGTCTCATTCAAGCCCCGAACCTTGTGATCGAGGACCTTGCTGGAGTTCAACGCAGACTCCGCGTCTCCAATCTCGCGGGTTACCAGCTTGGAAACGGTATCGTTGCTACGTGCAACAACCCTAGCGGTACTGTTGTCGGACTCAAGCCCCTCGTAAAGTGACCGGCGGGCCATGGCCTTAGCAATGGTATCATTGCTCCGGGCAACAACTTCGGAAGTGATGTTGCTGCGAGCCTGCAGTCTGTGCTCAGTCTCGTTGCGCGCTTCCGACAGCAAACCCCGAGCAATAACATCCACCTTAGGCTGGCTCTGAGCCGGGATGGTGTCGTTGCTGCGAGTGGCGATCGCATGGTTTTCGGTGCTGTTGGTGGCATCATCCGAGAACATTTTACGCCGGCTCAGAGTGCTGTTTGTAGCATGGTCGAGAATTTCCCGGCGGCTCTCTGTCTTGTTGGTAGTGGCGTCATCCTCGAACCTCGCACGTCGGCTCAGGGTGCTGTTGGTAGCATCGTCAAGGATTCCACGTCGGCGAAAAGCACTTGCGCTGCTGTTGGTTTCGCGGCGATTCAAAGGAGCACCATCCACGGTAGGCCCGGCATTCCAGGGTGAGGGAGAAGCGCCAGGCACAGAAGCTGGTGTGGACGAGGGGTACTCAGTGACGGTGATAGTGGTAGGCGGTGCCGGAGGGTTAGTCGCAGTGATGGTCTCGACGACGGGGGTAGTAGGACCCGCAACATTCACGACTTTGTAGGGGCCTTCCTCTCTACGCTCGACGGTGTCATTTCCACGAGCGTGGAGGACAGGAACCGCATGGGCAGAGAGGGCGAGGGCAAGGAAGAGAGCAGCGGTATGCATGGTGCTGCCGGTGCAATATGGAAAGGTCTGTAGATGCTGGATGTAAGGGAAAACCAGGACAGATATAATAGAAGCAGTGAACCAAAGTAGTCTATAAAGCAGGACAAGGATTATAAGAAGATTAAATGCTTAGTATAAGAGTCTTCTGATTAGACTGAGAGATTTGAAACTGGATCAACAACAATCGACGAGAGGATGGCTCAATTTATGATTCGGAATCACCAGCAACACAGCACATACACACCGACCAACCAGGCTATGGACACAACAAAAATTGGCGCCTAGAAAAAAAAATGAATTAAGAAAATCAGTGACAAGCAAGCAAGATCTACACGGGTGCGGCAGAAGTATATGCCATCATACACGGCACGAAGCCCCATCGTCGGGGAGAAAAAAAGGTGCAGGCTGGCGCATCATGATACTGTCAAAGGAGGCTGGGATGGGTGGATGGAGTCTTGTCTCTGCCAGCCACGTTGGTTTCTGGTGGGAAGAAGGGCACTAGAACCAGTGGATCGCCGTTTCCCAGCGGCAAAGACCCTGTGCGTTAATTGATTTCTTTTGTGCCAATTATATCTTCGACAGGCAGCATAATTTGAATGGCCAATGGATGAAGATAATGAAAGGGAAATAACTACTTTTATTTTTCTAGTAAATCTACTAAATGTCGCGCCAAAAATAAGAAAGTGGCACTAAACGTGCTAATTAAAGCTGGGATCCCGTGACCGGGCCCTTCTGCTGTCAAATCCAAAGTGGCTGGGGGGATCCACTTCCATTTACTTCCTCGCTGATCCCCTCACAGCCCGGCTCAGGTTCATCTCAGACTGTCTCATTGTCCTTGTTATTCCATCCTGCCCGGATCACACAATGTCTAAAGTCTGGACCGTAGATCCTCATCACGTCTACGTCATGCTGTGAATTTCTAACTTCCAACAGAGCTTACCGGAGCATTAACAAGTCGGCGGTGTGAGCGCCACTTATCCCCCGTCTACACCTTATCTCAACAGCAGAAACACAGAGTATGGTGGTACAGAATAACAGTATCGATAATGGTACCGAGTCGAGTCATTAGGAGGGAATCTCATCATACCACCAGCAATCGATAACCCACCAAAGGCTAAAGGCTCATCATACCTTTCTCACTCTCATCTTTACTCTCTTTTAGGCATGGCACCGCAACAGGGATAGCTAATAGAGCAGGATCAGCAATTTGCCATTGGCATATCATATCACATCACATCACAGCGCATCACAGCCCAGCTCAGGCAGGGTCCTCGGGATCTCCTTCGCCGTGTTCTCTTAGATCTAGATGCCAACTCAGGTTTCGAGGTTGCCTGCATCTCCTACGGCGTTTCCGGATGCATAGGAAAGAAGCATGCACTCTACGACAGACAGACAGAATGATACCTAGTGTGTTACGCGTCGAGCTATTGTCTACTTACTGTTATAGGTAAGTGCTACTACTGTGACTGCTATTGTAGGACCTTCTGCAGTGGACTTCCAGCTTTTGTTTTTGGGTTGGTTTCTATCCATATCTACAGCTATCCATCCAGACTCGTTCAAGCCACGATTTCCAGCCATTCAGAAGTTACTAAGTATATCCTATCTTAGCGGTTCAATCCTCAACCCAATAAGATCCATTTATTTGGCACGCACTTTCTCGAGGTTCGGTGATCGACCATGCAAGCGCCCACGGTCCCCGTGCCGATCCCAAGGAACAGCTCAACGCATCAGGCTGCGGTGTGACCGTCTTAGCGGCTAGAAAGTCACAGCCCTGGGGATGATGGGCAACGAGACAACAAGAGTTCGTGGCCAGCGTTTATCTCATGCACGGTGGGCCGCGTAATAATATCTCCGGCCGCGGCGTTGCGAGTAGATATACTCCGATATGCTTTGAGGGATTTACTGCGTCGTAGATAGTATAGTTTTATATTCGAAGATCGTACGATCGTTTCTTCGTAGATACTATATGATAAAACAACAGTATCTTTAATGAATCCAAGAAGTAGCATATCAGTAAAAGGACATCTAGTCCAATATTTCAGCGCTAGCTAGTCTGCACCCAGAGAGACTAGTACTATTGATTCAAGCACCTAAATAGAACAACCTAGTAGCTAATTTATTATGCGGAGTAGCCAGATAGGAATAACAAACTGACTTGAAACCCCATACTAACTCTTCCCCTCCACACCTACCGGGATAATCCTATAAAGAGATCTAAGCTAAGGAAGCATAATCCCCTATGTCCGGCTACTATCCATATCCCAAGCTTACGCAGTGCCTATACTTCCTGAACATTTCTTCTTCTAACTCGCACCGCGGAGTAAGATGTGAAGATTGCAGGCCGGCCCTGTATGTGAACATTCAAAAAACTTTTGAACATGACATAGTCATCGTCATTCAGATGACGTATATCATTTAGAAGATTCCGAAGATTTGACTTCAAGATGATCATAATACGCACGCTCTGTTTTCCGACGAGAAAATAAGATTTAAGAATCATGCCATGATGGTAGACGAGACGTCATCCTCTGCAATTACTCACTAGACTGACTGGCTGTAGCTGAGATTAGATTGAGGTTTCATGTGAGGGGTACTCGCCAATCTATCTATCTACTTTTTCCTATCTACCTAGGTACTAGATTATGGTCCAAGCCCAGAGATATGGGGAGCGTATAGTAGCTAATGTACTAGATACCATTGCAGTATACGGGTGGCTGTGATATGCTTGGACACTCGGGTGTATTTGCTAGACAATCAGTAGTCCTGATGGTTCTGTTCTGCGAGTTTGTTGTTTTCGTATGTAGAACTAGAATCAACTACAGTTACATCGTATGATGCTACTATGTAGTAGGTATTAGGGATTCTCCACGGCATACATACCTTAGGTTAGTATATGTGCCTGTTATTGCATGCAACACATTTAATATACAGTTACTGAGCCTCACACTGCCTCAAATGGAAAGAATCAAAGGGCTGCCCTGCAAGCCTCAGGCAAGAAATCAAGAAGCTGCTGATCGACGGACCCCTGCATGCATGTATGATACTTCCCAGACATAGTGTCTACGTAATACATCCAGCGGTCGAACAAATTGTTCTCTATTCATTCAATCATGCGTGTTTGGTTAACGTATTCTTCGTCCTGCTATCTATCAGGCAATCCAATTCCCAAATCTCACGACAACGCTAAATCCTCAACCCGAACCAAGCCACATCCCATCCCAGCCGCAGCCCACCCAGCGCACACCCGATTCGGGTTCCACGAGAGCGCAGTGACGTGTGTTTCTTCATCGAATACCGTGATCACCGCCGTGCCATTGATCAGTCTCGGGTCACCAACCAGATTACGCAGCAAGCTGGTGTGTTCGGCGCGGTAACCGTCGTGAAACCGACTAGTGCCTGTGCCCGTACCTGAGCCTCGCACCCATTCATGCTGGAACCAAGTCTGTTGCCATTGTTTCTCCTTGGCGTGCATCATCCGGCGGAGGGGATTCGTGGCTTGCACGGTACCGCCGGTGCAGCCGACGAGGAGGCTTGGGTGCCAGAAGCTGCAGGGTCCGAGGGCGGAGATCATACTCGGGAGCCGAGCCACGGCGGTGGAAGTGAAGAAGCGGCGGATGGCGAGGAGGCGCAGAAAGTCGTTCTCGTCGCCCGAGACGAAGGAGTGCAGGAGTGGGGAGTAGGTGAGGTGCGCGGTGCCTACGCGCATGCGGTTTGCATTGACGCTGTCTTTTTGAGGGTCGATAATGGAGGTGAGTCGGCTTTCGCCGTCCATGGAGGTGGTGCTGATGAGATAGGGATGGGTTGGGTAGGCAGAGGCAAGGTTGAGAATCCATGTCGAGTGCAGTTGCTGGTAGAAGTAGGGGATGGGATTGGAGGGTGAGGATGGCGATGAGACGATGCTCCAGATGGCGACGAATCCGTTGGCACAGCCTACGGCGATGTCGCTCGGGGAGAGCCATGTTACAGATGTACATACGGTCGAATGTGGTTTTGCTTCGAAGACGGGGGATTGCAGTTTATCTGAGCTGTTAGTATGGGACTTAGCTTTATTCTGGTATTTGGACGTACAGTATTCGGTCTGGTTTAGGTCACGACTCAGTTTGACATCGATGACCCTCACCCGGCCATCTCCCCATACACCTGCCAGAAGGCCGACGCTCTTCTGCGCGTCTTTGTCGTCTTCGTTCCGCGGGTCTCGAGGCATTGGGCACCAGGCCATTCGCCTCAGATCGCCCCAGTCAGTGCACAGCGCGAGGCGTAATCGCGGCTTGGATGTCATATCGATTGTCTTGGTCAGTGACGCGGCTTCTTCGGCCTTGAGCTCCCAAAGCTGCAGGGCAGACGGATAAGGCGCTGAAGGTCTGAATGCTGGAGCCGCCTGGTCCTTGTACGGATCTGGATACTGCTCCTTTTGGTCCGGTAGGATTGGAGCCACGACGGACAGATACTGCGTGAGGCCAGTTTGATTTGGCACCCAGGCCAAACATTGGACTTTGTTCCCTAGATTAAGAAGCCAACCCTCTCGTTTCCTTCTCTTTCTTTCAGGCTGTTTCGTCTTGGCTTGCTTCCCAGCCTGCTTCCCCTGTTTCTGAGATGTAGAAGCATCGTCCTCCCATGCCTCGCCAAAATCAAGCACATCATGCTGAGCGAGGGAAAAGACCTTCTGCTCATCAACCGGGCCAGCGAGCACGGTATGTGGTCCTCTGGAACTAGGAAAGTAGACCGAGCGGGCTTCATTCTCCTTAATCTTCTGTATGCGCTGCCTTTTCCTAAAGTGTGCACCCACATCCTTACTATAGTACCAATCCCATGCACGGGAGCTTTCCCGTTTCATGTCCTCGGCCTCCAAGCCAAACGAGTTCCCATATCCATAATCCGGCATATCATGCGACTCGTTCAATGACTCGCGCGTCGGAAATGTAGAGTCGACCCCCTTGTACCAGCGATCCCGCGCACTTATAATGGAAAGTATATCCCTCTCATCTGTGCCAAATGTAACGCGCAGATGAACTGCCTTTCCAACATGCTCAAGGGGGTTCCACGATCCGCGCGAATGCGTCTCTTCCCCGGGCACAGCAAGACTCCCATCCGGACGACGCCGCTTAACGCTGCTGCTAGGCTTTGGCGTAGCGGCAGCAGCGGGCTTTTTCCGCTGACGACGACTGCCCGTGTCAACATCTGAGGCCGACGCATCGTCGTCTTCCTCTGCATCTTCATCTTCATTCTCAAGGACCATCTCCACGTCATTATCATTGTACTCATCATCATCGTCGTCGTCATCTCCGTTGGCATCATCCATTGCAAAGTCTTCGTCCGAAGAACCCTCGTCCGCGACAGCTTGTTTAGCCTTTCCCTTGCCCTTTCTGCGCTGCGGGGTTTCGGAGGTAGCGGGGCCCTCTCCTTCGTCGCTAAAACCGGCCGCTTCGAAAGGGTCATGGATGTATTTCGTCCTGGCGCTAGATGCGCGATTGGACCTGCGGGGCCGAGGCATTGTGAACTGGGCAGGGTGCGGAGTACTAAGTGCGACGATATCTTAATGGGTTGGATAGAATGCTCGTCGCATGGCGCATTTGCTGCGGTTGGCGAGTGGATTTGTTGGCTGCTGGCGGGCAATCGGAGCGCTAGCTATCAGGCATGCTGTAGACGAATTGTGTCTTCCGATAGAGAGCTCGACGCATTGATCAGCGCGGAGAACCAAGGAAAGAAAAGAAAGATAAATGAAATGAAGAAGATGGATGGAGCTATGCTGTTTTCCTGTTTCGGGCAAGTGGGCTTGGCGGTACCTGTAAATACGGCATTACGCCCCACCAGTGTGATACCAGCATCGTTCGGACTGACTATAAAATTCACCTTGTAGAAGTATAAAAAGACGGTGGATTTGATCAAGGAGTAGTGCATGAAAAGTATCATAGGACCCAACTGCTGCATTTTGCTCACCGGTCCTGTTTTCCTTATGGCTACCTTTCAGCGAACCTCCGTATCAGCCTGTCTACACTAGAAGACCCCCGCTCATGCAGCAGTGGGCCGGCAGTAGCTGCGCATCTCTTGAACCACAATCCATCGCAGCTAGCAGCATGCTCTAACAACCTTCTATCTACCATCTATTTTGACAAACATCTACCCTCCCATCCCTTCTCCAGACAGACTTCCTCACTCTAACATATTAACAAGCACAACCAACTAAGATGTCTCACCCCGGCATCCTCCACCACTACGTACCTCCCGCCCTCCACCACCCCCCATCCCCCTCCAAATCTATACCCAACTAACAATCCACCACAGACACCCCGCCTCGTCGCCTTCGAATTCACCCCTCCCAACAGCACCCCCACCACCAACGCGCTCCTCTTCATCGGCGGTCTAACCGACGGCCTCCTCACAGTCCCCTACGTCCCAACCCTCGCCTCCGCCCTCTCCTCCACCCCCAACAACACATGGAGCGTCTTCAACGTCCTCCTCACAACCTCCTACCAAGGCTGGGGCGTCAACAGCCTGGACCGGGACATCGAAGACCTCGCCCAATGCATTAACTACATCCGCAAGCTCAAAGGCCCCGAATCCAAAATTGTCATAATGGGCCACTCGACCGGCTCGCAAGACGTGCTTCACTACCTCTCCGCCCCGAACCCAATCCCACAAAACCCCTCCGTCAACGGACTCCAATACCTCACCAGACCTCCCGTCGACGGCGCAATCATGCAAGCCCCCGTTTCTGATCGCGAGGGGATGCACATCACCATTACTACGGCTGAGGCGCGAGGTGCGTACGAGCAGCTGGTTGGGCTAGCGAAGGCTGCTGTGGCTGAGGATCCGAGAGCTATTTTACCGTTGAATTTGACGAGTTTGGTGGGGTTGGATGCGGAGACGCCGGTGAATGCATGGCGGTTCTTGAGTCTGGCGAGTCCCGACAGTCCGGGGTCTCCAAGCCAGGATGATTTGTTTAGTGCGGATCTTGGGGATGAAAGGCTTAGGGAGACGTTTGGGGTTGTGGGGAAGAGGGGATTGTTGAGGGGAAAGCTTATGGCGCTGTATTCGGGGGCTGATGAGTATAGGATGCCTGGGTTGGATGTGGAGGGGTTGATGAAGAGGTGGCAGAGAGCGACGGATGAGGGGGCTGAAGAGGTGAAATGGGATGCGGAGGGGAGTGCGGTGGTTGAGGGGGCGAGTCATAATGTGCAGGATGTTGGGCAGGAGGAGTTGGTGGAGAGGGTGAGGGGGTATTTGGCCGGAATATAGCCTATATCTATAGATAGATAGATAGACAGACAGACAGCAGACCGACATGCATTGAACCCAGTAAATACTATACAGAGCACTCAAAGTTATATAAAAGAAAAAAGAGGGTATAAAAGAAACCACCCACACCAACCCCCAACATCCTCTTAATAGTAAATCATTTCAAACCTTCAACCAAAGATTCACCACCCCCTTCAAATACTCCACAATCTCATGACCTCCCAACTTACTCTCCCCATACAACCGATCCACAAACGTAATCGGACACTCCGCAACCCTGAACCCCATAGCCTTAGCCCGAACCATCATCTCCATCTGAAAACTATACCCCTTACTCTGTGTACTATGAATAACCTTCTCCAGCACACTCTTCTTATACAAGCGAAAGCTTCCCGTAAGATCACTCACCCCAGGCATCAACATCACATCCGCAATGAGATTCGCCGTGCGGGAGGTAAACTTCCTGAACAGATCCCATCCGTACACACCACCCTTAATGCCATCGCGACTCGCGTACCGTGTGCCCGTCACGATATCTGCGTCTCCTAGCTTCTGGATACGAATCATCTCCGGGATGAATTTCGGGTGGTGGCTGAAGTCCGCGTCCATGATGATGACGTAGTTGCCTGTTGTGAATTGAAGGCCGTGGATGTACGCCGTTCCCAGGCCGAGTTTGCCCGCTCGGGGGTGGAGCAGGATGTGGTTGCTGCCGTAGTGCTTTTGGAGTTGGCGCGCGATGTCCAGAGTGCCGTCGGGGCTGCCGTCGTCAACGATGACGATTTCCCAGTTTAGGTTGCTATCGTTTGTCTTTTCGTTAGTAATGGGATTGAGGGGATGGGGGGAGGGAGGTGATGGGGAGGGTGTGTACTTCTCGCGAAAGGTCCGCTCCAGGAGCCAGACGATGATAGGGAGGTTCTTGCGCTCGTTGTAGGTCGGCAGGATGACCGAGTATTTGTTTTCGGCGGCGCCCATTGTGAAAAGTGTTGGGTAAAGGGAATGGATTCAGTTAGATGGGGTAGCGAATGTGTGTGTGGTGACAGACAGGTTGGAACTGTTGTCGTCAGGAGAAAAGAAGGGAAGTGGTGAGTTAGGTTAGTTGACTATTATTGCCGCGGGAGATCCGCGTTCGTCGTAACGTGGCCAGTCTAGACTACTTACTACTTACTATCCGGAGCAGACAAGAGCACGGACTTTCCCTTCCTCTTTCTCTCTCACGATAGGTTAACTACATATTGTGGTCCTATTTACTCCATCCACAATCTATTTCACATCACAAGATTAAGTAAACAAAACAGAAAGAACATATACATACATACAACACAATCAAAACAGGCCAATTAATTACCCACAGCATCAACCAGCACGTTCCGTCGGCCGATCCGCCCTCTTCTCAATGTCCTCATTATGCCGTCTCACATCTTCGGGCGCATCTGCCGTGGTATGTCCATCCTTATCGACATACGGCGACTCGTCCCCATCAGCTAGAGTCGGATGGGCCTTGTTCGACGGCTGCTTGCTGCTGCTACTGCCGCTGCTGCTCTTCGCACTAGAATTGGATCCCGTGTCCGGTGGAGGTGGACCTAGAAATAGGTTGGAAGTTAATCAGCGTCTGGGAAGAGTAGTACCTTGTGACCGGTGTATAACGTTACTGTTGCATACCTGGGTGCTCAATGTCTCGCGTAGGTTGGTTCCGTGGGTTATCGGGTTGCTGGGCTTCGGTTTCGCCATCGCCCCCGTAGGAGCTGTGAGCGTAGAAGCGTTGCCTCAGGGGGTAGGCGCTGCGAAGGGGAGCCAGTTGGCGGGCGGCGATGGAGGGTGTGGCTCGTTGGGAAAGGCGGCTACGGAGGAAGACGCTCATGGTGGGATATGAACAAACTTGGTAATTGATGGTATATCTGTAGTGAAAAGTACACAATCTAGCAGACAGACAGATAGATAGATCATAGATAGTTGATAGTAGTTTGACAAAAAAAGATAGTATGGAGTAACTTCAATCAGTGGCTGGTCGCCTATATAGTAGGCAGAGGTCGATGTCGCGATCGTCATGACGTTGCCGACCGGTCATTCCCTCGCAACTCATGGATCGACCAAACATCGCCCCAGTTCTTAGGATTTACCTGTTCCACCGAGTGGTCGCCCTCATTACGCTCGCCCGCGAGACCCAAAACATTTATTGAACCCAGGATTTATTATCTAGGCTGATTCAGCCCATGAGAGCAGATGAATTCGGACAATATTGCCAGAACATGTCGAAATGCCACATACCAAACGCCATCCCATTGATGGCCGCCGATAACAGAAGTAATAGAAAACAAAAAACCAGCAAGGAAAGGTCCAGAAGTTGTGGGCCTCGACGGAATTAAACGAATGACTTGTCATGCCCGTAGTGTATAGTGCCTGGCACCGTTTCCCACCCAAAAACGCCGCCGAACTGCTGTCGGACAAAAATGTCAAAATGTGCCAATGTAACCAGGCAAGCCAAAATCAACCAGAAATAGCTTAAGGACAAAAGCCACCCAGATTCAGGGGTGTGCGATACACGGAATGCACGCCGTACTCAGTCAACAATACCGGATCTCATACCCAGGAAATAAACCAGCAGTCTCGCAAGACAATCATTCGTATGCACGTGAGTCGAGAAGAAAATCGTTCCTTGGTCTAACGCCGACGCCGTGGTTGTAAGAGACCACGTTGGAAAAATAAAGACGCTCTCGTTTCATCTTCGTTCTTCGTTTCATGCCCCGTCGCATCAGTCCGTCAGGGATATGCAATAGCAGACACTCTCATATTCGGCCTTGGCCGTATATGTCTGCGATGTCCCCGAGGCGGCTTCCACGGTCGTCGTCGGCGTGGGTTGAACCACCTTGATTTGTACTGTCTCTTGCGAAATCGGACCGACTTGGCCGTCATCCAGAACCTGCATCTGCTGGCAGTATGGATTGGCGGCCGAAGGGTTGTCTCGCTTCTCCTCCATCTTGATTCGGCGAGGGTAGTCGGCGATGCTGTCTCTCTTGGAGTGGGAGTTCGAGCTCCCTTGAGTGGCCTGCGCTATCTGAGTGCTTGTCGTCGTCACAACTGCGGTACTGCTGTACTGATACTCCTTGGTCGTCTCGTTGATGTACAAAAAGAACTCCATGACCGTGCTATTCCACCAACAGAACCACGGCTTGTCGCCGGCCTGAGCCGTTGCCTTGCGACTCAGCATACTCGATACAACTTCATCTTCAGTCACATAATCTCGCTTCGAGGACGAGCTCGACGGGAAGCTATCCTGCGGCACAATGACCAATTTATCGTAGAACGTCATGAATGTCAAAGCAGGGCCAAAGCTGAGGTCATTAGAGTCCATCATCATACTCAAATTCTGAGTAGGGTTAGAGAAGACGGGCTGCTGGGCACCGTAAGTGAGTGAAGAAGAATAAGCACTGTCGTATGAGTCTTCGAATGTGATATTGCGTTGCTCGTCCGTGCCTCCAACGATAATGGGGATCTTGCCCGAATTGAGGCAACCCCACGACACCCGGTAGTCCGAATCAGCCACGCAGAATTTCGACTGGTTTTTAGGAGATGCGGGAATAGCGTATTGGCCAGTAGGAAGCGTCAGCAGATTGGTGGGCGTGGCCGTCACTGGAGTTGCGTCCATCCTGGGAGTCTCCGTCACCGTCACGATATGTGGGCGACTGGGCTTGTCCCCGTGGTCTTGCTCAGCTGCCTTTCTTGCTCCTAACACGCCGCCAATAATACCACCAATGCACCCTCCAATAAGCATAACCACTCCCACCAAAACTAGCGTCCAGACCGGCAATCCACAACATGCCTTTTTCTTGCCTTTACTCTTTAATTTCTCTTCAAATGCCATGACCCCAGTGACTGGCGGCTCTTCTAAGCCTCTGTTTCCATTACCGTTACCGTTACCGATACCGCCTCCACTGGTTGTATTCTCCATCACTAGTGTATTTGAGGAAACCTCCGACATGAGTGGTCCAGCACGCTCATTATGGAGAGTTTCATCTTGTATGATGCCAGCATCATTGACGGTCGCAAAGGTGCCCTCCACTTTAGGAACAGCATTTTCGGGATAACGAGAGTACGGAGGAAGTTGTTCAGTATGGCCATCCGGTCCAATGAGGTCGCCAAGATCGTCATCGGCTCGGTTAGGTGGTCGCTGATATACCTGCGCGTTGTGTCCGGGAAAGCCAAGGGGGACCATGGAGTTGTCAATTCCGTCATCCTCTGGCACCACGTTCTGTGGATACATCGCATACGGATGCTGAGGGGCAGTCGTGTCCTCCAATGGTCGGTCCACTGGCCGTAATGTCGATGTGGTGGCCACACTGGGAGAGCGACTAACGCCGACCTGCGGGTACATCGCATACGGATGGCTGGGACCGGTTGCCCCTGTGTAAGGGCTCAAAGCCCGAACGGGCATGGAGAAACGCGAGGAGGCACTTTGGCTGCGACTGGTGATGGAAGGAGCGGTGGACGCGACGGAGTTGCGGTTTGCTAGATCCACCCCCTTCGGAGGAAGACTCGATCTGTGGGGAGTTTCATCGAAAGAGACCCGGGCCTCATCGCCGAAAGGGTCCTCAGCTAGCTCGGCATCAGTTGGAGGAATGGTGTTGTAGGCCTTAGGCTGCTGCTGTTGTGGTACTGAGCCACGAAGGGTGTTGGAGGAGACACTGGAGGAGATGGAGGGGCTTCGAGGGGTGAGAGTGGCTTGTTCGGAATCAATAGGTTCTAAGGAGTATTCGTCGGAGAAGACATTGGGGTTGGAGGAGCGAGCAGACATGGAACGATGATGCATTGAATCGATTTGTTGAGACGGGGGTCGCGAGGACTGCGAGAAGGAACGGTTGTGGTCGGATGATAGACGCCCAGACATGGCGTTAAACAGCCCTGTCGGGCTACCTGTTTGTTTCAATCAATCTCTCAGAGGAATCGGCCAGTCACCTTAGTCGACTGAAGCCGGTTATCGAGTAGGGGAGATTGAGAGTACGAAGGAGGGCGAGAGAGAACGAGAGCGGGAAAGAGTGACGAGTCGGAAGGAGAGGAAGGGGACAAAAGAGTGATAAAAATAAATCACGACAGCCACAAGAAGCAAGGAATCTAAAACGATAGGATGAGGATAGAGAGGATTAAGCGTTGGTGGGATGGAGTGGGAGAGGGTAGGATGTCGTGATGGTGGTGGTAAGTGGTGGTGATTAGTAGTGGTAGTGGAGGGAGGAATGAGAGAAGAGGAGAAGGGAAGGGGAAGAAGAGCCGAGTTTCAAGCCAGTCAAGGACAGTTCAAGTCAGTCGACGAGTTGGGGACGGAGTGGCTGCTGCCTCAGGAAGCCAGGGCCGCCCGAACTGTGGCCGAAGGGGGTTTAGCGCGGACTGGAAGTGGGCAAACGAGCGAAAAAAGTGGGCGGCCTGTTTTCTTTGGGGCCCAAGAAAAAGAGAGTGACGCTGGATTGCAACAATAATAATAATAATAATCAATCATCAAGCTAATGAAAACGAAAGGATGGATTTGACATTGAGGAAGTAATAAATAATAACTAACTATCAAACCATTCATTCTTATTGCGTAGTCAAGAGATAGATACTCCGTCCCCTCCCCGTCATAGTCGATGTGTGTTCTATTTGTGGTATGTAGCTACTTGCTGCGCCTCGCCACTACGGGTTACTTACTATCTATCTATCTAGTCGCGCTGTCGTAGTGACAGATACGGGGTAGTCTACCTCCTTCTTTCTGTTCTGCCGTACTGGCCTAGAACACTCATTACCCACTTAATTTTATGTAGGTAAGAATAATCGAAAAATGAAGGGGGGAAAAAAGAAACAAAAGGAAAAGAAAAATTCGAATGACAGACATGAAACACTGGCCATGGTTCTTGTCATCTTTCCAGGCCTATCCGGCGCTGAAAGTATGAGGCAAAGTTCCCCGGCAAACAACCGGCGTGGAGGCGTGACCACTCAAGTAACGCACCCACTCCCACTCTCCTCTCTCTCTTCCCCCTCTCCCTCCTTGCGAATGAAGCAACTTTGGGCCTGAAACACCACCAGACCTTTCTTCCCCCCATCGTCGTCAGAGGCGCCTGCTGCAGCAGAGATGCCGGTCGCTTCTTCCCTTAGTTCCAAGCGGTGTGCTCCGGATTTATCCCGTTCCTTGGCAGCATGACTTCGCTAATTCCCAAGTATCTCGTCTACGGACCTTTCCCATTTCCATAGGTGATCTTGATCCGATCGGTGGATAATTTCTTTTTCTGCGTTGTGGGCGCTTCTTCTTTTTTCTTCTTTTTCTTCTCCTTCTATTCCATTTTTCCATTCATTCATCTTCCTTGGTCCCTTGATCCGCCCTATCCTCCACAATCAAATATGCCAAACTGAGCTAAACTAACCGTACACATGGAAACCCACAGCTTCTTTGCCTCGATCGGGAATGATCCGCCTCGAGTTCGGACAACCTCCAGGAGGCGGACTGTCTCGCTGGAGGCAAAAAGCGAGGAACGAGAAAAACTAAAACGGCCAGGACCAACCAAACTAGCGGCCACTACTGGAGACAGAGGGGTCTAGTCATATCCGCCCGAGTCTGAAGAAGGGTTCGTGAGGTGTTGCCGGTGGAACCCGCGAGGACCTAGTTGAAGTAGTGCATGGCTCGGAAAACTCTATCTGGCCGAATTCGGAAAGGCGGGCGCAATCCCTGGCTTGGGTAAGGATGCACGCATCTTCAAAGATCTACGCGGTCTGTTATCATGCGCTCGGGCGATTATATCATAGGAATGGACGGACGCTCTTTTCGCCGTTTCCGGCCTGTCACACAGGCTTCGTGTCAGGTGACGACAGACACAGTGGATGAACACAATTACTGAATTATCATTATGCTAAGTGCAATAGTCTAAGCAAGTGCTGGTAGCCTGGCTCGCTACCATGCATGATCTCCTGCCGGTCATCTATACCATGGGGTGGTCTGGATGGTGGGCGACCCATGGCATCCGGTAGGTACCTGTCTGTCAGGAACCATCTAATCAGGGGCCAATGAATGAGAAGGGTTGAAAAAAGAAAGAAGGAAAGAAAATTTGACAAAAGAAAAGCAAACACCGACAGGGTGGACAGCTTACATCACATAGATCGGAACCTCAAACATGCGATAGACACGACAAAAATATGGGAATGTTCACAGAAATGTACACACAACAAACACAAGGAATCTATGTATTAGACAGCATCCCCAAACTCAAACTTGTACAGAAATGGTACTTTTGTACATAAACGAGTGGATACTTGCCAGGACGTCCCCGTCGACAGTTTAGATCTTGGCCTCAGTGGCGCTCTGCTTGAATTGCTCTAGCTTGATTCGCATGTCTAGCCCCGAGCACTCAAATTTATCCCATGCACGCCGGTTCCATTCAGAAACCCACGGGTAGTCCACAACAACTTTCTGCAAGTTAGGACATGAGTCTAGGATGTGCTGGACTACATTTACCCAGCTTCCGTGCGCCAGGCCAATGGAATGAAGGTCCAGGATCCTGAGAGTACTATTAAAGCGTGTCAGCCACATGATCAAATCTTCCGGCTCAACTGTGAGATATGAGAGCCTCAGCTTCTCGAGCCGGTTAGTTCGTATGCTCGCGGAGCTGGCTAGTTTGAATATTTTTGAGCGACGTGCAGGGGTATCAGCTAGACTGTGAAGGGAAAGGCTTCGAAGTTCTGGGGCGTGCTGAAGGATGTGGGAGAGAGCGGTACCTCTTGAGAAATCTAATGAGGGCGACTCTGTAATCTTGAGCGACTTCAGGCGCCTCCACACCCGAGCAAGATTTGGATGCATGATTGACTTCTCGTTCGTCCGCGACTTGACAACCCTGCTGTCCAGTATGAGTTTCTCAACTGGGATGGTGTTTTCAGCAAGAACCGCATAAAGAGCGTCCTCGATGTACATGACTTTGTTCTCCAAAGTTGACCCTGCCCTGGTGAGCGTGAAATGAAACTCTTTGCAGTTGACTAACCGATTCAAGTCCTGCCTTAATGCTTTCATCTCTGGAAGCTCATGAAGGGCCTTTCGATCGTAAGATAGACGCCCCCAACTTACCATCCGTGCAGCACTGTGCCCGATATAGGGCACAGTTACATGCAACGACCTGGGAAGGTGATTAATGGTCGAGTCAATCGCCAGAGTGTGGATGTTTTCGATCTCCCTGGGTGTGAGTCCGGTATGTTTCTTGGCGTGCAAGGAAGCAAGAATGGACGAGTATGCCAGTCTACTCACCCCCTGAGAGACGAGGTAGAGGCTATAGAGCTCATTTTGGTCAAGATAGCTGGCGATCGTGTCGAAGATCTCTGCAGGAAGAGTATCGAGATTCTGAGGTGCTTTTCGGGGTTCTTCGGTCACTGCCTGCTCAGTTGGTGGCTGCTCACTTGATGACGGCTCGGTCGATGGCTGCTCGGATAGTGACTGGGATAAAAGTGAGCTAACATCGAAGCCTGTGGGAGACCAGGATCTGGTCGAAGTCTCGTTATTTCGGAGACACAACGCCCACTTCCCCCAATATGAAGAAACGCAGTTGCCCATAGCGAATGATTGGTGCCGAGTGATGGCACGGATAGGGTTCTATGTCAGAGCTATGATGCCAGCTTGCTATAAATGATATCGACATATTCTGTCGTGGACGGCATGAGATGTCTATATACTAAGCCAATCAGACCGCAAGCCATGGTGACACGGGGATTCCATGACTTCCTAGGGTGATTGATTACAACTATGGCTTCTGGAAGATGGCGAACCAAGCAACGAGTAGGCCATGAAACAGCCGCCATCTTGTCCCTGTGTCTCAGACAATGGCGGGCTTTGCCTCTGTCGAGGATTTATAAGCCGATAAAGTGCCTTTGTTCGTTAGTATGGCTTCAGATGATCAACAACGTGAAGCTCTCCATTGTCGAAGCCATATTTTGGTTCTGATCAAGAAAGATGATTAAGCGGCAATCGTTCTTTCATTTTGGTGTTGGTACCCGGCCCGATTGGCTGAACCGTTCACATATCACAACAGTAGAGGAAGTTGCCCGTGGATGGTTCCACGCACTGGTCTTCAAAGAAACAGTGGATCTGAAAGTGGAGTCCTGGCTAGTAACAATTCACCAGTCAGACTGCAATCTGCTGAGAACCAACGATGACCAGGCCACAACAATCAAGAGAAAGACCCGGAGCCACTATAACCCCTCACAGTTCACAGCTGGCTTAGACTGGTTGTCTCGAATGGCCCACCATCGTGAACTCCCTACATTGGGTATGCCATGTGGTTGGGCTATCCGCTGTCAGGTACCCTGGACGTCCTGTGGGGAGACTACATATTCACAGCAGACACAACCGACGGAGTCCGCAGATTCTGTCTGAAGCCCGGCCAGACCTTTCATTTGTCCATTTTCCCAACCCCTCGATCTGGATCATGAATTATCTCCCGCCATTCAGGTCTCGACACTTTGGTTTGGAAAACAGGCTTAGGTGGGCATAAGGCTGCTGCTACATGTCTGACATCAGTCCCTGGGTCGTGTAACCAGGAATCGCCCAGGGCCAAGTGGAACTGGCGAAACTCGTAATCGGCCCAGTGGTACTTCTGGGATAATCCGACATCACACGCGGGTTTTCATCGGGGCCTGCAGGTTCTCGAGCTGGGGCACCCAAATTCGCTGTGCTGTTACACGTCTATTGGTGGACGGGCAGTATTGGCTGCCTGAGAATGGAATCACTGGGATTCTCCCTCCAGCGCTCTTGCATCCTAGGGTTTTTGGTGTCGATTTGCAGTGATCGGTTCCAGTTCTTTTCCGATTTTGTTGTGGATATGTCTAGCAATTTGGTGGACGTATTACTTACTTTAAGCGTACTAGTGGGCATGCATAGGTTCTCGTTCACACGTCAGACATCTTCCGTTCCTTCGGTGACGCACTGATATCACCATCGCTCGATCCCATGCACGGTTTTTTCCTTTGGTCTTGCGGTATGATCGTCATCTTAGCTTTGCATGTCCTCGCACCTGTTTAGGGGTCTGAGTACGAGAATATTCGCAATACTTAACAACAGTGGGCTTATATGATGTGCTAATAGGGTGTCCCGCCCTGTCTGGTATCCCCATATGCGAGCTTCCTGCATATCCCATCAGATATACATTACGACTTCGTTGCTGATCAGGCAAGAATGCGCAGTCACCGTGAGCTCAGGAGGAGGTTCCCGGATTATGGTTTTCATTCTGACTACATGTCATAACCATCACTGGTTAGGCTGAAAATGCAAGTCCATTACTATTCTCATGTGACCTTTCTTGTTACGCTTCTCGATTCCAGTGGCGCACTCTCGGTGCCATTATGTTATGCCTCCGGTGCACGAGGCGGCTGTAAGCCCCTTGGCGCGAAGCAGCCTGGTCGTATCGATGACGACTGGTTTGGTACTCAAGCTTATTTACTGTACTCCATGGACAGGGCCACTGGAGCTGAGGTCTACAGCTCCGGGGTCTTGTTATGCAGCCAACTATAAGCGCTTCACGATACTACCCATTATGAGTGCTTCCAGGTAAATATTCCAGCCGCGGTACCTCTATACTATCCAACCATGTGCACATGGCTGGGTGTCACTCCAGTTGAGAGCAGGTGGGGATCCTCTGTATGGTTGCCTGTAGCTGGCGTGTACTAGTTTTGGGGTACCGTAGTACTATCAGCACTGTTCGCTGATAATCACCGGTAGCCGAGGGTTGGTGGCATGACTTGTGCATGATCCTACGGAAATATATCTCCACATACTTACCCAGTGACGCCGATGGAGGACTCCAATGCGACCCAACCACTAAGCAAGCCAATGACAGCATATGAACCTAGATGATCAAAATGAAATAACGGCACAATGTAGTATATAAATATAAGCTCAGCTAGTACCATATCACCACTAGGCATTCACAGTGAAAGAACGAGAGGGCATAAACGAGAAATGAGACAAAGAACGCGGGGTAAGCAAACTTATCACTATCTTAATCACCAAGGTATAAGAGTGCCATAACAAACTCAAATCTCAATGAAAGAACAATAATCATCCGTGATTTATGAACTATTGTTTGTATTCATCAACATAATCTCCAAGAACAATCGACGAGCTCGCATACTCCATATGGAACCACGATCAGCACGATATGGTTTTACCTAAGCGAAGCTACGGAAAGCTTTCAACAAATGGGCCTATAGCAATTGGTAGCGCGTTCGACTCCAGATCGTAAGATTGTCCGATCGAGCCGGGCTGGGCTCATTCGCATCTCTTTTTGCTTTTGCTACTTTGCGCTCCCCAGTAAGCTGGCATCTCGTAGCTTGCATCACTCACTGAGATTATGGCCATTGGCGCCGTATTGATCAAATTTGTTGCTATTGCGGCCTTGCATCATGGCTACCCATGATGTGTGTAGATAATGAAGTAGGCGTCTGCTCAGGAAGAGTCTGGCTACCAGTTCTCCACTAAAGGAGACAACTTGTAGTCTAATCGTAGCAAATAATCATGCAGATGGCATCCCAATGTAGCAAGACGTAGTTGCAGTGGGTATGCGTGATGCATTTCTGCCTCAGGCCGTCACCGGTCTATCTCCGCCTCCGCGCCCAAAGGCCGACCGACCGACCAGCCAGCTTCTCCAAATCCCCCCTCTGTCTATCATACCTATTCCCCCAACAAGAGGCTTCTTGCCGCTGAAGCCTGGCCGCCATGTCGGACGAGTCGAAATCGAAGGGCTTCCCGGACATCTCGGCCAAACTGTCCGCAATCCCCAAGAAGTCGCTCTTTGAACGCCAGAAAGCCGAAGCGGAAGCCAAACGAGCCCGCGAGCAAGCCGAGACCGCCGCCGTGTATGAGGACTTCGTCAAATCATTCGAAGATGACTCGCCAGCTCAAGACAGACATTCCTCTGATGGACGACTGAGCCGATTCCCGCCCAAAAACCCAGGCTTTGGAGGCCCTGGGAAACGGCATTTCACGAGCTCGGGGCCGCGCTTGAGCGGTCCTGGTACTCTAGGACCACCTCCTCCGAGAAAGCGCACACATGAAGGGTTCCAGCCAATACATCGGAATCGGGATACAGCGTCGGGGGTACTGGGATTTGATAATACTGCACCGGCTGCCGCGTCGGCTTTCCGTGCTTCGGATGATGAGGATGAAGGAGCTGGTGATGCGAAAGAGGCTGAACGGGCTGCCGCGAAACCTACGTTATATCTTGCTTCTCTACCGCCGGGGACATCACCCTCAGTGCTCAAGTCCTTGATACCCTCTGTTCTGACTGTCGACAATGTCAAGATCCTTCGCCCCCCAGGTCAGCCGATAAACGACCGGAAATCGGTAGCCGCCATTGTGACTCTGGCGAATGAGTCTGCGGCCTCGGATATTGATAGCACCGTCAGCGCCCTGCAAAACAGATACCTAGGATGGGGATACTATTTGACAATATCGAGACACCTTTCCTCTGCCGCTATTGGCTCGACGATGCCGGTCACTGTCGGCCTGTCTTCCGCAAGCTCTCTTCCTTTTGGCGCCAAGTCGATAGCGCCCGATATCCCTGGACGACTGAATCGTGCTCCACCCCCGGGGTTGCATCGTGGAGGATTTGCGCCACCATCGTCGTATGGATCGGCCTATGGGAGGAGTGGCCCTTCTACTCAGGTTGAGGTGAAGGCACCGTCGGATCTGAAGCAACTGAAGTTGATACACAAGACACTGGAGAACCTTTTGAGTTATGGGCCGGAGTTTGAGGCGCTGCTCATGAGCAGACCCGAGGTTCAAAGGGACGAGAAATGGGCATGGATCTGGAATGCTAGAAGTGCCGGTGGTGTGTACTATAGGTGGAAATTGTGGGAGATTCTCACCCACACTCGCCCCCCTGCACATCGAAGAGGCGGACCTCAGCCCTCATGCACTATATTCGAGGGCGGTGCAAACTGGGCCCCTCCGGAGGCACATATCAAGTTCGAGTATACAACACGCATGGACGAGTTTGTAACGGACGATGACTACGACTCCTCTGACGAAGAGATGTCTGATTATGAGGACGAAAAGCGAAATCTTGGTGGGGCACCACCAGCAGAGGGCCCTGGCGCCGCCAACGAGGGACTGGGCTATATGAATCCTTTACAGAAGGCCAAGCTAACCCATCTGCTTGCTCGCCTACCGACTACGCACGCCAAATTACGAAAGGGCGATGTTGCTCGGGTTACGGCTTTCGCCATTGAGCACGCAGGCGCAGGGGCTGACGAAGTTGTGGAAATGATTGTGTCAAACATCATGAACCCGTTCGCCTACACCGGGGCGAACCCTGATCGTGAGGCAGAAACAGGAATTGCCCGTCGGGAACAAGCAGACCTAGCCAAGGACAATCCCGCTGAGGAAGGGCGGCCATCGACGAAGGAAAATCTGGATACATCAGCTGCAAAGTTAGTTGGGCTTTATTTAGTTTCCGACATCCTCTCATCTTCCGCCACGAGCGGCGTGCGACATGCTTGGCGGTATCGGCAGCTCTTCGAGTCTGCGTTGAAAACACATCAGGTGTTCGAACATCTGGGGAGACTTGAGAAGGATTTTAGATGGGGACGACTGAGGGCCGAAAAGTGGAAGCGCAGCGTTGGCACTCTTCTTCACTTGTGGGAAGGCTGGTGTGTGTTTCCGCAGTCAAGCCAAGAACACTTCTTCCAGATCTTTGAGAAGCCGCCGCTCACCGAAGAGGAGCTACGAGAAGAGAGGGAGAAGGCCGAGGCCGAACGCGCCGCGAGTGCATTCTCCAAGAACAAGAGCCGCTGGAAAACAGTCGATGAAGATGCTACCACCGGCAAGTTTGATCCTGGGCGAGCCCCTGAAACGCATCCGCACCCAATGGATGTCGATAAGCCGAGTGCTGCACCGGCAGGAGTTGAGAGCTTTGATGGGGAATCTATGAGTGATATTGATGGAGAGCCCATGGAGGACAGTGACCTGGAAGAAGCAGATGGAGAGCCTATGGAAGAAGACTCTGCTCCAGAGGAAGATCCCAGAGAGTCGGAAGAGCAACCTCAAAAACCAGCCGATCCACCAGCCCAACCGGAGTATCAACCGCCAGCCCGAAAGCCGCGGCCCAAGGCTGAAGATATGTTTGCCGATTCGGACGAGGAGTAATATAGGGCTTCTCGGGTATGGGTGGTGAAGGTGGAACGATATGTCTATATTACATAGTTATAATGTCGGATTACGATACCTTTCTCGTACTATGGCATATTCCAAGGGAGCCAAGGATGTACGCTATCTAGTACCTTACAGTAATGCTGGTTGTTGATGTAGAAACGGGTAAAAGTGAAGTTGTAAGTAGTGATGCTGCTGCCTTAAGGGTATTAAGGCACCGACCCTGGCGGCGCCCCACAATTCCCCTCGCGACGGAAATACTTTTGATGTTGATGTCAACCTCGACTCTTTCCCTCCTGTCTATCCCACTGCCACTGCCTCATCTCTTCGCATCCTCCTCTTTTTAGATCTCCTAAATAACACATCTATCAAAATGGCCGGTAAGTCCACACTTGCGCCGCCGCTCTCCTCGATGCGACACCCCATCTACCTCGTCTGGTGTTTTGCTGCCCCTCCCTGAGGCTCTTAGGCCCCCTCCACGGCCAACATACAACCACCTTCACATACAATCATGACAGTGAAAGCTAACGCAATGCCTTAAACATCTAGACTTCCAGAGCATCGCACGTACGTATTATTACCTCCATTCTGGCCCCCGTCTCCCGTCGATCAGGGGATGACCTGCATGCATCGTCGCATCAGGCAGACCCCTCCGATTCCATCTGCGTCGCAGATACCCGAGTCTACCCAATAGACTGCCCATAACATGGCCTAACATATGTCGCTACGAACAGAGCAATTTGTGCAATTCTACTACCAGACCTTTGACGCGGACCGTCAGCAGCTGGCCGGTCTCTACGTATGTTGAATCACCCCGCATTCCACCATTTACAGGCCCGAGAAACTAACCTATATACCCCCAAATCGATAGCGCGATAACTCTATGCTCACCTTCGAGACTGCCTCCCAGATGGGTGTTGCCCCCATCATGGAGAAGCTGACGGTTAGTATTATCATCTGCCTTCACTGAGACCCATTATCGGCTTACTGACCTATGCAACGTAATCATACAGAGTCTTCCTTTCCAGAAGGTCCAGCACCAGATCTCCACTCTCGATGCTCAGCCCTCTGTTAACGGCAGCATCATCGTCATGGTTACCGGTGCCCTTATCGTACGTGCCCTGCTTTTGTTGGCGGAAGATGCCTTCAATTCCTTCGCGCAAAATGAACCGAGGTTGGCTTGCTGTTCGTTTGGCTTACTTTTCGCTTTTCTTTTCTTCTTATAGGTCGACGAGGAGCCCCGCCCCATGAACTACACCCAGACCTTCACTCTCAACCCCGAGGCTGGCAGCTACTACGTCTTCAACGACATCTTCCGTCTCATCATGGGTTAAATTACGACGCAGGGAATTGGCGGGGATTTGATGTGACGTGTGTGATGGGTGATTCAGGGGGCCCATGGCTTGGCCTATTCAGTAGGCAGCTTTTATGAGATGAAGATAATGAATTAGTTATAAGAGGATCGACACGTGCTTTTGGTTGCTGTGTTTCAATCTATTCCCCTTCCTTCATTGTGAACGTTTCTACTATTCTCTTCCTGTTCACTGATACACGCATACTATCTATTTATTTCTTTTCACCGTGGGATATAGATGGCATACTGTTCCATGTTCGAGCCTAGAACTTAGTAATGAGCAGTCAATGACATACAGCTGCGCCAGCAGCGATTGATACATTGCAGCCAAGAAGTATAGTCTATCCAAGCAAGGTATATAGGTAGGATATACATGGCATCTTGAATAGAACGGGACAAGAAGTACAGTTTTGCGCTTTTGCATCTCCAAACCACTCGACCACATACCAGACTTTCCAAAAGCCATAATCCAACCATACCAAAGAAGATCTCACTGATCCCTCAACAACGGAGTCTCCTCCGACGGCAAGTCCTGATCATCCTCAGCCACCACCTCCTCTTCCCCGTCCCCTCCCCTCACAACCTCAGTATCCTTATCATGCCCTTCATGACTATGTCCCCGATTCGGTCCCAGGAATTCAAAGAACACACCCAAGCAGAGCAGCGTTCCCTGCAGACAAGCCGTCACAATCAATACACCCCATGTACTCCACCCCTTTGGACCTAATCGCGCTGCGAGACTGCCCGCCCAGACGAGACTGCCGGGCGTTTGGATGCACATCATGGGGATGCTGAGGGATCCGACGCAGCGGAGTCGCAGAGTCGTGTAGATCTGGGGTAAGTATTGGATTGAGGCGAGGAGGGCGGAGAGGATGCCGCAGAAGTTGGACCATGCCTGGAGGGAAGAGGGGCGAGTGTAGCCGACAGCGAGCGTGGTGATAAGCATGAAGGCGGCGTGGAGGATGCAGATGACGGCGACGGTTACGGCGGTGCGGTAGGTTGGGCTGGATTTGGGGAGGTGGGTGGTGTTTCGGGGGAAGAAGAGGACGAAGAGGAATAGGCTGGATGGGTTAGTTGGTGGTTAGTTTGGGATGGGATGGTTTGACGACGATGATGGGGTTCTTACATGATGAAGAAGCAAAGGCATTGGGTTCCGACTTGTAGGATCCCGAGGATACCTGCGAAACAGCCCATCCCATTGACTTGCTTGCAGCAGGCCATGTCGTGAAGGCTTTGTTGTTGGGAGATCACGTTTGCTAGTGCCGAGGAACCAGATGTGGTTCCTAGGAGGACGAAGTACGGTGAGATGCCGAAGGAGGTCTTCATGGTGAGGATGCGGACATGTTGGGGGGTGTAGGAAAGGAGGATTCCGAAGACGATGAGGCTGGTTACAGTTAGCTTCGGTATGATGTAGGATATATAATGGTTAGAGGGAAAGACGTACATGGAGAGGATGAAGTTTTTGATATCCGGCGAGGCCAGATGCTCGCATCGCGGATTGGAGAGGTCCATGTCGACAAGCTATGACTGGACCAACACAAAGTCGTGTATATACCCGATATATGGCTGTCACGAGCCAGAGATAACTGTTCCAGACAGATAAAATGAATCCAGTCAATTAATTCAGCAAGTGGGACGTCGAGCACAGCTGGACCTGAAGATATACCCCGAGCATAGGGGGCGGTTTAGAGGAAAGGCGGAGGCGGCCCGAGACAGCGGCGGATTATTGGATCCTAAAACAACATTCTCATACCAGCACACACCCGCGTTGATTGGACCTGTGAGGCAGAGAAAGTGGATGAGGATGACTTGTCAGGTAGGAAGTAGGTACTAAGTAGATAGTGCCATAGAAGGAGGAGGAGGAATGAGTTAGCAGTTTAGTTCCCTGACTAGCCATAACTAAGCAGTTGTTCTCCTTATCGCCCGTCTCCGCATTGCCCAAATAGGCAAGGCTGGGCCGATCGCCCTAAAGAGTTAGCGGCAGATCATGTGCCTTGCATCAGAAACATCAATAGTATATTTTGGTGTATATTGTTTGTTGCAGAATCAACCAAGTCACTAAAGTCCCCTCGGTCGTAGGCGGTGGGACAAAGGACTGGCAGTCAGTGAATGGAGTCAGCCAGCAAGCCAGCAAAGCTTACTCAACTGCAGCTGGGGCACTAACTATGGGCCACTCTATCATCGATGACGCCAGAATTGGGGGAAGCTGGCCTGCTCCTCGTCATACGTCACTCGATGCTCATCCCGCGCCGCCTCCCTGATTCTCTCTTTAACGAGAGATCGTCAGCTCTGCGGCCAATAAATATCTTCATCCCGGGACGTAGTGATCTTAATCTCTCTTGCTTAAGATCTCACAATTAACAATTGTAAGTTGCTCTCACGGATACTTTATGTTCTTGTTCGTGGTGAATCGAGAGCTAACCTTGACGCTATAAGCAAACAACAACAGCAATCAACGCTCGATATAATTTCTACATCTCGCCAGGATGAAGCTCCATTTGGCTTCGTATCTGGTATTTGCGCTTGCAACCTTTGAGGCGGTTGGAGCATCCAGCTGGTTTAGCAAGGCTGGTATGTCAACTTCTGTACCATTGACTGATTTGACTGCTCCACATCGAGACACTCGCTAACACCCCTTAGTTTACAACAAATGGCATGAGACTGAGTTAGAAAGATGGCTCTCCGATCATGGTATGCTGCTTCCTCCCATATATTCTTCCCATGAAGCATAGTTGACAAAGTCTTCAGACATCCCGTACCCATCGCCGGCCGACCGCAAGGATCTCGAGTCCCTAGTGAAGTCCAACTGGGAAGCTAAAGTCCAGAAGCCCCTGGCACATGTTACACAGCACTCTCATGATCACTGGCATGATGCCAAGGAATGGCTCTTTGACACGCAAGTCTATGCGAGATTGTCCTTCATGTAGTTAGAATATACTAATAGTCTACACAGGTGGTCCGACTCCCAGTTGAAGGCGTTCCTTGATCGTCATGGTGTTCCTGCCCCCCAGCCTCGCAAGCGTGATACTCTTTTGAAAACTGCTCGCGAAAACTATGAGTCTATTGCCACGAAGCTTGGAGAGGCTGTCGCCTATCCTGGTAACTGGGTATACGAGCAATGGACTGAGTCTGACCTAAAGGAATGGCTTGATGAGCGTGGCTGGCCGGTTCCACAGCCCACCACGCGCGACAGGCTTATTGCATCGGTTCGTCGTAATGCTCGACTGGCCAGTTTGAACGCGAAGAGCATCGCTGCCTCTGCCTCTGCCTCTGCGGAAGCTGCGCAGGCTACTCTGAGCGATGCCCTGTTCAAGGCTTGGTCCGACTCCGATCTGAAGAAGTTCCTCGATGAACACGGTGTCAAGGTACCCCAAGGATCTCGCCGCAATGAACTCGTGGCTCTGGCGAGGAAGCACCGCGCCTCTCTGGTTAGCCAGGCTTCGGAGGCCTCTGCCACCATTTCGTCCACCGCTACTCAGATCATTGGAGCCGCTACCTCCAAAGCTGGTAACGAATACGGCAAAGCCACCGATGTTGCCGAGTCCAAGGCCCAAGATACCTTCGATACCGTAATTCAAGGCTGGTCCGACTCGCGCTTGAAGGCTTTCCTCGATGCGCGCGGAGTTCCCGTTCCTCAAAGCAACAAGCGTGACGAGCTCCTTGCTAAGGTGCGGCTCCACAGCCACAAGGCAGCTACTGGCTGGTCTGCTTGGACCTTTGATACCTGGGACACCGAGCATTTGAAGTAAGACTCCTACTTGGATAACTTTAGACAACATTCTCTAACATACATATAGGAAGTACCTGTCCTCCATGAATGCCAAGGCAGCCCACCGCGCCGACATTACTCGCGACGAGCTTGTCAAGCAAGCCCAGGAGAACTACGCCAAGGCATCCAAAGCCGGAGGCGCAAACCTCGCATCGGCCACCTCATACATGGCGCAGGCCACCGATGCAGCCAAGGGTTCCGCCTTCGACACCTGGACCCATTCCGATCTCAAGGCTTACCTTGACTCGTACGGCATCCCGGTCTACCAGGGCTCCGGAATCAACGAACTCCGCGCCGCTGCTCGCCGCAATGCGGAATACTTCCGCTATGGCACTTCGTCTCCTTCGGGAACCATCTTCGCTAAGATGCAAGAGGCCGGCCAGTGGCTTCTGGATCAGCTGAAGATCGGCGCGTCCAGTGGCCGTGCCCAGGGTCAGGAAGCCGCTGAGAAGGCCAAGGCTAAGGGGTCTGAGGCTGCTGAGAAAGCCAAGGCCCAGGGATCCCATGCTGCCTCGAGCATGCGGGTCGAGCTGTAAACCAGCCAACCTGACTTCTGATACTTTTCCTTCGGTGTTGTTCATGTTTGCCGGGGGCGTTGTTCGTGGGATACGACGTTATGACATCACATAATGACTGCAATCTCGGGGAGGTGGTTGACACGGTCTATGATTTTTACTGAAATCTGGCTGTTGCAAAAGTTGGGGACGGGAGAGAAGGCCGGATAGTGGAATTTCAAGTAATAAATTTTAGTTTTAGTTTTATTGAGATATTTCGAACAATGCAATCAGTGTACAACAACTCGATCCTATCAGTAATGCTATCTAAAATCCCGAAACCGTTGCACTGCATTGAAATGATCCTCATTCAGCATGACTAAAATACCAAGGCTTTTAATAAAGATATGAATCGCTTATACCCGAATTTGATAATATCATCAATCCCTTGAAACCGGCCCCAAACGTACATCCATCTAGCCCTCCGCCGATCTCAAACCACAATTCACGACACCACCATCCCAACCCATCAACCACGCTCCGCCATCATGAAATAAGAATAGCAAATCAAGCATTCTCAGCCTCCGGATCCCCCTCCGCCACCAGCTTCCCCACAACCAAGTACTTCTCGGAGAAACGCTCCTCCCACGACTGCAGATTCTCCAACTGCTCGTTATCCAAATCCTTCAAATCATCCAACGGACCCTTCAGATCCTTGGTGAGCATTTCCTCATCGAAGCTCTGGCACGCCAAACCGCGGGATGCGTCGCGACCGGCGAAGTTCTCGTAGGGTCCGCCCTGCACGTTTTGTAGATCCTCATTAGTATCTTACTTCTACCGGAGAGGTATTGGTGTTGAGGAGAAGGGGAGAGGGGGTATTTACCGGCCCGTAAAAGTTCTTGCCGGGAGTAACGTCAAATACACGGCCACGGACAGCGAGGTAGACGGGGGCGTCGTTCTCGCCGTTGAAAGGGAGGAGAGTGGTCGGGGTGAAGGTGCGGAAGACGACGGGAGGAGGACCCTTGGGGAGGCTGACGGGGGCTTTGGGACGGAGTTGGAGGTAGACGAGAATGACGAAGAGGGAGAGGAGGATGAGGTTTATGGGGGTGGCGATTGTCATCCTTTGTATATGGTTAGTGACTGTGTTTGGTTCATTGGAAGTGGTTTTGTTGTTTGTAGGGGAATAGGTGAGGGTAGTAAGCACTGACACTTCGGCGGGCGGCGGGACGGCTTCGTCTGGAGGGATGGAGTTAGTTTGCTTATGATGTTGTTGATTAGGGGATTTTATAGAGATGGGAATTACCTGGGGTGGACATGATGATTGAATTAGTGAAAGAGTAGAAGATTTTGTATAGATGTGTGTGGACTTTTGGGGGAGGTGGATGGAGAAAGATGATGGAATACAGAGATGATGATGCTGGAGTTGGAGAGCCGCGGGATTCGCGATCATGACGAAGTTGGAGAAAGGAGCCAATCAGCGAAGGGGGATTGGGTGCGGAGACACAGGGCCGATTACGGTACTGATACGGTACGGCACGGTTATCGGCACGTGAGATTATCCTAGTGAATGCCTGATGGGTCAGGCATTCGTGTTTCTCTCTCATGTTTGTTTACTCTGTACTTTGTGGATAGTCTTTGCTCGGACGATTAACCCAAAGAATATTAATGCAGAGCAGATCAACTGATCGGACCATCCTTGGAGACCGTTTGAGAGTCTGTGCGACGGAGATTGCTCTTTGGTTCACTTTACTAATTTTGGGATGCTCCTCTAATTGCGATGGAGCGTTGGGCTGCTCTCGACCATGGGGGCAGTTAAAATTAGAATTGAAGGACCATCCTCGACTAACCGACTGAGTCTGAAACAGGATCCTCCCGACTGCATCCAAGTGGTGCTGGTGCTGCTGTCAATTGCTTCTCCGTGCTCCATTCATTCATTCATTCATTAATTTCATCCCTTCTACTCTTTTCTCCGCCTCTCGCACGCAGGCAAACCGGTTTGCTTTCAAAGAGAGGGGGGGCCACCTTGATTAGCTGTTTCTTCTTTTCTTTCTTGCTCCATTCTTTCCCTCGCTTTTGCATCTGCGTGCATCTTTTTGCCCTTTTTTTCTTTCAAGCCAATTGTCTGGTCTTATCTGTAGTACAACACCAGCTTTAGCCCTTTAATTAATTGTCCACTCGCTCTTCTCCACTGGTTCTCCTCCTCCGTCTTCTCTCTCTCTTTCTCCCTCCCCTTCGTTCTGCTGTACTCCAATCCAGCTCTACTCCCTGACGTGCAGGCATGTCAGCTGCATGAAACCCACCTACATTCGCCATATATTGCTTTTTTCTATGTTAATCAGCGACCGTTTTGTGTCACTCCTTGCTTAGCCATTCCACCACGATCTAGAAATACTTTAAAGGTATGCGTTGAGATACGGGTCACATTCCGGACATTTCGACTCGAGTTCTAGCCTCGCGGGGGTTTGATACTTATTCGTTGAACCAGCTTCACCACCCATTTTCATCGATCTCACGAATTTTGTCACCGAAACAGTCCAACCGGCAACATGTGGGGGAAAATGTCTTTCCATCGTTCGCGGAAGCCCGTGATCGGGAAGCCTACACTGATCGACAAGACCCTAGATGATAGTGTCTACCGGTCTCTGTCCCCCGCTCCGGGCAACCAGAGCAGTGACACACTGGCCCATCCCAAGTCTCGTCCCGCGATTGCCCGGTAAGTCGTTTCATCCTTCTCTCCTGACGGTAATCATAGTAGCGGTGCTCTCTAACGCGTTCTAGCAACCCTACGGACTCGCTCCTTCCTGCGCAACGCCCCGACACAGGTCGACGGGTCGCGTCCACCTCCCATGCCCTGGACATTGCAACTGGTGACCAGCCTCACCAGCGTTCCGCTAGCCTATCACATAATTATCTCCTAGACCCAGCTACCTTCACTCACGACCTGTATCGACCCGAAAGTGCAAGCATTTCGCCCCCTGATTCGCCTATCTCCTTCGGACGCCCACCGGCGAGTCGCGACAGCTCGCGTGTTTCACCCATAGAAGACGACTTCAGAATCGATTCAAGCGCCGGATCCATGGAGAACAAGGAGAACACTAGATTTGCTAGCCATTTGCCCGTCTTGCGCAAGCGCACCAACTCGCAGGCAGACCGGCTACAAACGCCCAAGTCCTCAAGAAGCCAGACATCTAGATGGGACGACTTCTCTGGCGAGCTGACGCCCAGCGACTTGAGCATGTCTGGCCCGACAACTCCTGGCAGCGTTTCGTTCCGCACCGAAATCTCGGCAAAGCCTGCCTCATCCCATAGCTCAAATATCTTTGGCTGGAGCAAGGATCACCTGAATTCAAAACGGAAACTGTCGGATCCACGCACCCGGGTGTCCAAAACCGAAAACTCGCTCCCACCCGGCGTGCGCGAGCCCTGGAAGGGACCTAGTGGACGAGCTCCGATAATAGCGCCCATCCAGGAAAGGCCGAGGGCTAAATCACCATCACGTGTGCACATGTCCCGGAGTAACGATCGGCTGAGGGAAGCGCACAGCACGACACCCGATTATGCCGCTTGCGGGTTCGTTCCCACTGTTGTGACCACGATCACGGCTGGTGATTCCAAGCCAAAGGCATCGGAGAAGGTTAGGCACACAACGAGCAGGGATAATCTCCGAACACGAACCCCGGAGGAACCGGCTCCGATCAGCATTGTCAGCAGTGCTGAGCCACCCCGTGTGGACTTCCCCGCACCGGATGACTGGGAATCATCGTTGGCTGACCTCAAGTTGACAACTGATGACGCGGCCGAACAACCTGCAAGCCGCTTCAGCGCCACTACATATGAACCTACGGAAACAGCCAGCTCCGTTGGAAGTGCACACGGTAGCATCGATGCCGCATCCCAGTCCACTGAACACGTCCCTTCAATCATGTCACGAAAACGACCTGTACCCAGTGCCGTCGCGCCAGCAAAGAAACCCAGCAGAAAGCCCACGCCGGCGCAAGCCCCTGAAGCCGAACCGCCCAAGGATCAGCTACAACTTACACCAGAGGAACAAATTCAGAACCGTATCCAGACGTTAGAAGCTCGCAGAGACACACTGACGCGCCGGAGAACGAACATCGACACGATCATCTATGAATTAACCCAAGTGATCCAGCCGAGCTCTGTTGCCTACGACATGGCTGCCAGGGATGAGGTGAAACGGACTGTCGCCAGCCTTGAATCAGAACTTGCAGAGATCAAGCGGGAAGAGCACGAAATCGGTCTGAAGCTGTTCAGGGCCTGGAAAAAGCGCGACGATCTTGGGTTTGGTGGGGGTAGCTTGTGGGTCAAACGAGTGACTAGTTGAAGAGCATCAGCTCTGGCCTTGGAGTTTCTTTCTGGGTATCTTTCAGCATTCCCCTCCTTTCCCTTTATTCCTCTATCATTGTCATTTTGTTTATTTCCTTTTTTTTTCACCATCCTTTGGTCAAATTGTCCTGCTGCTGGATATTGGCCGGGGCGTGTCTTTGAGCGTTGCGAATACCCTTGGGCAGCATACAGCGGATTTATGTTTACTTCTTCCTAACGATGCCGGTGGGCTATCTTTCCTTCTTACTGTGCCGTGCGCAATGATACCCTTTCCGCTTGTTGGGGCTTCTAATTCTGAAGCTGATCCTGGTGATTGACGGTATGGATATTTCTGGTGAATAGCAAAAGGTGCATTATTGCATGAAATGAAAAGGTGTCAAAGAAAAGTGGTTGCTCATGGAATTAGTGCTCAATGCATATGCAAATACTCCACACCGAGTTGTGGGTCGTAGCTCGTTGTATCTCGTGAGGACATATAGAACCTCGTGCCCACAGCCCGACTATTTCTTTCCAGACTTCTTGATACCCTGGTTACCAGTGTTCAGGGGGCCCTTGCCCTTGGCCTTCTCCATGAGTTCCTTCTTGGCCTTTTCCTCTGTAGATGCCGAATGTGGTTAGAAAACGTTGACCACGAAGGGAGAGGCTATAACAGTAGTACATACCAGCTCTCTTCTTGGCCTGGTAGGCGAGATCATCCTCGTCCAGCTCCTTCTTCTCCTTCTTGGCGGACTTGAGAGGCTTGACCTTGCCACCTGTGCAGAAGATGGATCAGTATGAGGTTATGCAAGAATGTGCTGTCAATATGGGTGGTGGCCTCCTACCTTCTCTGCTTTGACCACCCATTGTGTCGTAGGATAAAAGTGTAAGTGAGCGTGGAGGAAGAGGAAGTCAAGTGGCGCTTGCTGTGAGCCTTGAAGGAGGGGAAGAATCGCGGCGTCGCAAAAAATCGGCTGCTTATCAGCGATTGTCCCGCGGGGAGCCACTAGTCTCCTTTGCGCTTAGCCGCAAAATCTTCGGCGGCCGCCCCTCACCGCCCGGGCATCTCCCCATCTCGACTTTGGCTTCTCTCGCAACCTCATATCGCTGCCAAGTTTCCATCCATCCAGTCTTTCCATCCTTCACCCCTTCCATTCTGGTTCTGTCGGCCTCTTCTCCCGCTTAAACAGGAAAAGGATCAAAGGGAATCTTCCCCAACAAAACAAATACATTCAAACACTGTCTCATGCTTTCTTGAGACGGTAGTCAAGGGCAAGGGCCGTGGCATTCTCAGCCGGTTGGACTTTCTCAATACATTCCTCCCAAATAACGCTTCGTCGGAAACGTTTTTGCTAACCGGGACTTACTTCTTTTGTCTCTGAAGCTGCTCGAAGGAGCCAGCCCACATCTTTTAGTACATCTCCAGGGTCCCTGAGTGAGCCTGGTAATATCACCATGGCGTCCCGCAGGTCGAGGTCTCCATCGACCCCTTCAGAGGGTGAGATCATCGAATCAGGTTCAGAGACGAAGGCAACTACGTCGAAACTTCCTCTTAATGGCAGCATCGTTGACCGTCCCACCAGAGCTAGTCCTGCACCCGCGACGCGGAGCAGATCGCCACGCCACCGGAGATCGAGGACCAGGACCAGGTCGACCTCGCGTACGCGGTCCCGCTCTCCCTACCGCGATTACAGAGGCTACAAGCGCCGCCGGGACGATGATTATGATGATTATGACCATGTTGACGACCGGCGATACCGACACGAGCCACCCCGACGCGTCGGCTCCCGATACGATGACAGCCGGTACTACGGACGAGGTCAACCCGACCGACGCGCGCGGCCCTCCTATTATGACTACGACCGTGAGGAGCACTACGGCGATGGCCTTCGATATAGCGATGAATCTGATCGCCGCAGAGAGAAACGCGCGCGCACGCGGAGCCGGTCGCCATATCGCGAAGTTCGCAAGCCTAAGCAATATTCCGGGGATGAGTGGGAGTCTCCAAGAGATGAGAGTACTGCCTCTCGGAATCGCAGGAGGGGGGCTTCTATTGAACAGTCAGTGAGCGAGCGAGGGAACACTCCAGTCGTCGCTCAAGGTATTAAGCAAGATGCTGAAACTCAGAAACCTCAGGTGCAGCAAGCTTCTGCCACCTTACATGCCCATGTTGATAGGTAGGTTGCCATAAACTGGTAGTTGGTACGGAGCTAATGCCTTCTCAGTGTGAATGGGACGTCCGACACTCACGAGGAACAACCCCCCGCCGAGCCCGTCGATGAAGCGGCACAGCTAGAGGCCCGTCGCAAACGACGTGAAGCAATCCGGGCCAAGTACCGAGGCCAGGCCACCCCGATGCGTTTGCAGGCACTACACATCGGTGAAAGCAGTAGAGATTCATCCATCCCGGGTGCAGATACTGCCGCATCAGGCAGTGCTATTTCTGGTGAGTTTCTTGATCGCTTGACTGCTTGACCTCCCAGAGTGTCGAAGCCTAGTGGGTTAATAGCTAACAGCATGTTCATCTACAGAATCAGCGCCACTGTCAGCACCTGAGACGCCTGCTGATAGTCCAGGGGAGTTGTTCTCTGACTTTAAAGTAGGCAAGGATGCTGATCTAATGAACGGTGCACCGGTAAACGGTGTGGACAAAGATGGACCGTCTGCAGCAGACTACGACCCTACCTTGGACATGAAAGCGGAGAGGGAAAAGCATGATAGTCGTGGTGCTAATGAGGAGTTGTCTGCGGCGTCTTATGACGAAACGCAGACCTCCCGACAGGACATCCTGCTCCCCGATGCTGTTCCACCCCCGCCTCAGCCCAAAGCGAAGGATCCTTATGACATGTTCGCGGAGGATGATGACGATGATATGTTCGCTGAAGACACGCAGGAGACTACGCAGCCAACGCATGCATCGGCTAAGTCGGCAGTCCCGCAGCCCAAGGAGCTCGACATTAGCATGATGGACAACTGGGATGACCCCGAAGGATATTACAATGTCCGGCTGGGTGAGTTGATTAACGGACGATACCATGTGCAGCAGAATCTAGGCAAGGGCATGTTCTCATCGGTCGTACGCGCCACCGACTCCAAGACTGGTGGCTTGGTTGCCATCAAGATCATCCGCCAGAACGACACGATGAGAAAGGCTGGCATGAAGGAGATTGGCATCCTGGAGCAGCTCCACGAGGCCGACCCGGAGGACAAGAAGCATGTCATCAAGTTTGAGCGATACTTTGACCACAAGGGACATCTTTGCATGGTGTTTGAGAACCTGAGCATGAACCTGCGGGAGGTCTTGAAGAAATTCGGACGCGACGTTGGCTTGAACCTGCGAGCCATCCGGGCGTATGCCCAGCAGATATTCCTAGGACTCAGCTTGATGCGGAAGTGCAACATTCTCCATGCAGACCTCAAGCCCGATAACCTGTTGGTCAACGAGCAACGCAACATCCTAAAAGTGTGCGACCTGGGATCAGCATCCCCGGCGACGGAGAACGAGATCACACCGTATCTCGTGAGTCGATTCTATCGGGCGCCCGAGATTATTTTGGGAATTCCGTACGACCACGCCATTGATGTGTGGTCGATCGGATGCACGTTGTTCGAGCTGTACACAGGCAAGATTCTGTTTACGGGGCGCAACAACAACCAGATGCTACGATCCATCATGGAATGCCGTGGCAAATATCCGCCGAAGCTGCTGCGGCGAGGGTCGCTGACGCCGATGCACTTCGATGACATGCTCAACTTTTTGAGCATGGAAGAGGATAAGATCACCGGACGACCAGTCACGCGGGTGTTGGACTTCAAGAAGCCCACGCGGGACTTGAAGACCCGGCTAATGGGAGGCAAGGAGACACGAGGCATGACAGACAGTGAGGCAAAAGAGCTGGCCCAATTTGTGGATCTACTGGACCGGTGCTTGAACCTCAATCCGGAGAAGCGGTGCACGCCGACAGAGGCGTTGAAACATCCGTTTCTGTCTCGGCCCAAGGCATAATTACTGTGTAGCTGATCATTTTTTCTATATGGAGTATACTTTTTTGAGATGATTGCGGGCCATCCGTTGTACATATTATGTCATAGTAGGACTTGTTTTCACCCTTCAATTCAACAATATATCCACCGAAAATCATTGCCACCAGTATAACAGTATGACAAGACGACTCGCTACAATAGTTTAGTTTAAACAAAGGGCGAGGATGCATCCGATCGTCCACTATCCATATTGAGTAATAATGGATGATGGTTGATGGATCCGGGGCACGCCCAGTGGCAAAAACCCAGCTACGGAGTGAGTCGCTACGCCCCATGGATCCATCCATGATCCGTGATCCCGCCGGGAGGCAAAGCCCGACGACTAACGACGCGTGCCACTCCAGAGCCTGATCGCGGTAACGGGTACTTTCTAGAACGTCGAGATTGATGAATCATTCGATGATGTTAATGATGATGAATGAGGCTCAGCTGTACTACAGGCTTAGTACTTCCCGCGTGCTCCACGTCCAGGCAGCCACCCATAGACCAGCTTCAGCTCCCAGCTTCTAGTGAGTAACACACCGTTCCATGGGACGGACCTGTTGATTGATTGATTGATTGATTGATTGACTGATTGTTTGATTGTTGATTGATCGATTGACTAATCTGATGGGGATGAGATCCTCGGTCCACTTATACACTTACACTTTACTCGACATGGTAAATCCGATGAGATTTGCCGCTTTGCCCCTTGTCCGTTTCCCCCCCCCCCCCCGCCTCTCAGCTATACTATGTATGAATTGTCGAACACTGTACTTCTAGAATTATGATGATTAATGATTAACTAAGATTGTCATCTTGTTAGTTTGTAGATTATGGATGGTAGATCTCTTGCCGAGGGTAGTAATACTAGCGGAATTGAATAGGGGAATAGGGATCAGTATCATCGTAGGGAGTACTCTATACGGTATTACTTTTGCTTTTGCTTTTGCTTTCATGACATTAAGGGCGGTAAGGAAGGAAGAGAGGAATCGGAGAATTAATGAGGTCATTTATTGGTTTCAGTTTTCGGGGTTTCTCCTAATGGAGTACTACTTACGGAGTGTTGGTGATGTGTGATGTGATGTGTGAACACCCATCATTTACCGAGGCTGTCTTGTGTATCTGGGATGGATGGATGGGTCAGAAGTATATCTTTTCCTTGCTACTACTATCATAGTACTTTGTGAGGGATATGGAGAATGTGAATATTAGGAATATATTGTAGTGTGCTTGTTCGGGATACCTACTTGATAATATATGGTTGGGAAGATAGATAATATTTGCTTCTACTGAAGATTATAGCTAGTAGCTAGTATAGAATGGAACTATATGTTGAACAAAGCTATGATAACTACCTACTACTTACTGTATAGTTAGTGGTGAGCAACAAAACAAGGCAAATATGCATATCTCCATATCCGCATCACAGTACATAAAACACATGTTCTATGTACCCTTAACAATAAAAAAGAAATAAACTATCACACAGCACAGCGATGGGGTCTGGCACGCCTAATAGTAATGCTCTTATGTACCTACTAGTACTTACAGCATGCAAGCAGGATAAAAACTTAAGTTTACTTGCTTGCTTGCTTGCTTACCTGCTTACATAGCCACTTTCATGCCTGTAGTTACATGAACTGACCGCAGCCATCATCACAGCCTTAGTACCTACGTACATATATCTACTCGGTGTATCCACATAGTTACCGGTTAAGCGCTGTGTTGCTCCGTAAAACTAGGTCCAAGTCCTAATAATAATAATAACAATAATAATAATAATCGTGGTTCTCAACCGCTGATCTTAATTTCAGGGTTAGGTTTGGAGTACTTATAAAAAGCAATCATATTTAGTATTACTTCGTATTTTATGGAGTACGTAGTCTGTCTCTAGTACATGTCTCAATAGACAGCAGGGGTCTGTCTGTCTGTTTGTCTGTCTGTTGAGCGGGTAAGTAAGGCGAAGGCTGAAGTGAAATGAACCTGGCTAGCTAGTTTAGTTACTTTGGGAATTCTCCGTGGACAGGCAGGCAGTAACACACGCTTGGGCTGTTATCATTGTGTGATTACGATTAGAACTATAAGCTGAAGTGTACTCCCGTAGATTCTTTATTATCCGGTGGTCTCTACAACACAATGTCTTTGGCTGATATATAGGGGAAATGGGGCTGTGGATCGGAACTGCTTTATATAGACGATGGTGCATGACCCTGCAAGCCTTGCAATGGGGATAATAGTAGTAGTACTACACAGTATAGGAGATTGTATACTAGTAGGCAGCCTACCAGGCGAAAGAATGAAGCAACAACGCCCCGGGCAAACCGGGACTAATTCTACATGGTCCATGGTCTGTGCAGGACTTGCCTGATCAAGACTAGTGGACATGCATGGGCAAAGCATGGACAATGAGCCAATTTATGATTGGAGAACTGCTGCCCGAGAGTCCCCACTGCCAAGCCTTCGGACAGCAAACGTGGCAGCAAAGCAGCCAATCATCAAGCGCCATGGCTATCCTTCGGGAATTCTCGAAGCGGACGAACTGGGCTGTCATTGGCCCCGGCGTCATTGCCTCACTTTATTGAGTTCGGTTGCACTTCTGCCCGCTAAACTACTAGTGAGCATGGATTGGCATTAACACATCCATCTTGCTTTGCTTTGCTTGCTTGCTTGCTGGTCAGTAAGTATGGTTTGGAGGGGGTCGGGTTGATTCAGAAGGCGGCTGCTGAACTTTACACTTTAGTTTTGGCAATAGTTCGCTCATGTGTTGGATAAGGTCCTCGCTGCCAGCCAACGGGGTTGGCGATGCTTCAAAAAGACGGTGAGATCTAAACCAGACTGTTTTCTTTTTGGGTGGAAAGAGTGGTTGGTGGCCGGAGAAAAAAACAGGACAGACCTGGCAACTGTTGCACCGTTGTCTGGCAAGGCGATGAGTAGTAAGTAGACAGACAGGCACTAAGAACACAGTAGACTAAGTAAACTGCTATGGAGTCAGTCAGGCTGCCCGTCATTCAAACACGCAGCGGGAAGTTGGATGTGCCCCATCCAGCCATCTCCGTTTGGCTCGACCGTTTCGTATAGACATCCATTTCGTTTCGCCCTGCAATCCAATCCTCCCTTCGCTGCCCCCCTCGTTAGTCATCCTGTTGTACCCGCTTGGTCCATAAGCCTAGAACTCCATGGTCAGATTAACACAATCGTGCCCTTTGCTCCAAACTTTGTCCTAGCATCACTCATCTCGAGTAACCAACTGTAGGAGAGGAGGTATGGGTGCTGGGTGGAGTCATGAGCTGGCAGTACAGTTACAGACTATACAGCCAACCCATCTATCCAGAGACTGCTTTTACCGTCCGAACGTCCGGTGAGATTGCAAGAACCACCGTTGCTCGGGGAGGTGTTTTCACGTTTCACTACACTTGACGATCCAGCGCGTACCGTTGTAGAGCACGACGGAAGTCTAGTTACGGAGTAAATAGATAGCTAACCGTCGACATGGAGATGGAGATTGGGAGATGGAGAGATGGATCGTGCCCTGTCAAGGAAATCATAATAATAACCGCCATGGGAGTTTCACTATTTTTCTCATCTTCCCGCCCTGCATCTCTTGAGAGTTTAGAACTTCAGACACGGACAGTATAGTAAGTGTGGGGCAGGAACAATCCTCTCCTTCCCCATCCCATGTTCTCTCCCCCCCCCATCCGGGTCCTTTTCAGCCAGTCATCCATCATGCCAGCCTCATTCCTACCACACAGCCGCCCAGGCAATGGCAACGACGGGGCATCCGGGCGCCGATACAATCGACCAACGGACCCAGTGGGATACCAAGTAATAGTGTGGCCATGAGCTCATTTGTGCGTTCCCCCCCTTTCCACCACCTCTCCCAAAGAAGGCTGGAACCTTACACTTAGTAGTTACTTAGTAGTTAGTACAAGTGTACTGGTAAAAACTTGCCGCCCACCTTCCCATCCTTCCAGCAGTTCCATCCCAGTTCATCTGACTGAACTCATTCTTCAATCCAATCACACCCACGGGGAGGCGGATTTATCTTCCCTGGGCGTTTCCGCATTCAGCCAATGACGAAGATGTGCTCGGGCCAGCCTGGAAGCATTGGCAAAGTGTGAGTGGAGCCATCTGCACCTGAATGACCTGTCACAACTCGCCCTCCCTCCCTCACACCGCCTCCTGGACAAACAATCCTGGCCTTGACTGTGTGTTGAAGGCAGCAAATCATCGCCCTTCAGTTGCGGTCTGTCTAGCGTTGCCTTCTCAGGTTTCCATTCTTTCTGATCGTCGATCTTTGGGAAGATTTTCTCTTTTTTTGCTCTTTTTTGCTTTTTGCCTGGTCGGACCGGACACTAAACCCGTACAGCCACGACGGCGGCGGCATTGGCCGTCTGTCCATCGGGTCTGCGCGGAGGTCTTCCCATTCATGGATTGAACTCTCACTCCCATGGAAGGATGGGGGACTTGGATTATTGTTTCTTATTATTATGGATCGTAGACTGTAGGGATGGGACTTCAGGCCACAACTACTACTATACTTACTCTTGTATACTGTAGGTCCAGGCATCCCAAGCTTAGTTCCTACTGAGCCTTGTGACCCTCTTAACTGACTAAACTGAAAGGAGGTGTGCGGTGCTGCCAGAGTTTCGTTTCCCTCCACGCACTCGTGCCCATTTGGCCCTCCCTTTCAACAACCCCCCTCCATAGCAATGTAAGTAGTCAACAGATCCACCGACTAGTAAGGGGAGGTGTCTTTTTTTTTCTCGCCTTGCCAGATCGTGGACACTCCCCATCACCCCTAGTCTGTCACCTCAGTGTGTGGAGAGAACCAGAATTCAGCATCGCGTGGTATCTTAGGCGGGTTAGCCAGGACCCAGTGGATATTGATGATGTCGATTCATGGATCCTCCCAGGCTCCTCAGCTTACGCGGGTGCGTGTTAGTTGGTTATTCTTGGTTTTCTCGCCGCCTGGATCTTGCTGAGGGACGCGGTCGCGGCCTTGTCGGTCAGTAGTGGGGAGGAGGAAGTTTGGTTTGGTTCCGTCTTGCCCATCCAGACACACACTCTCTCACACACACGCGCCTTTCCTATTTGTAGCTGGACCCTAAACTAGTCTAAGCATCATACATGTTAGCTTGGGTGGGCGGGTGGAGTCGCCACTCCACCCAGCTGGACAGGCCCCGGCCAATCGTGTGGCGATGTTTGGTCTGGTCTGCAGGCTGAAGATGTAACGGGGGAAGTTACATAGTAGTTTTAGGGGGGGAATGGATGGATGGATGGATGGATGGGAGGGAGTCATCTGGTTGTTCTGAATGGTCGGCCAGTTTTCCAGGTGATGATTCGTGGGATGCAGCCTCTGAGGTAAGAGACTACCAATTCAGTTCAGTTCTCTCAAGATGGAGGAGGGAAGAGTGGCTCTGGCCACGAGTGGCCCCAGGCTTAGCGGCAGTTGGGGGGATTGTTATTCGTGTTATGGGATGGGTAGTGGTGGTGGTGGTGATGATGATGTTGATGATTAGGTGTTACTATTATGAGATTTATTAAGAAGGAGATTTATTTTATTTTATCGATTTAATTATTAGGTGTTATTAATTTTTCTAATTTTCTGTTTTGGGTTTTCTGTTAAGGGAATTAATAAATAGAATATTATTATTTTACTTTTCGACTGATTTTAATTTCTGCTGGTGGTGTTGTTTTTTCATTCTGGGTCCCTGGGGATTTTCTGGGTCCCTATTTTTCGCCATTTCCTGCTGGAGGATCTGGCTGGGTCCCTCATTCTGACTGACTGACTCTCTCTCTCAGTCTCGTCTCTGTCTCTTCTTATCGGCGCCCCGTCCATCATCGCCATATTAATCTTATTTTTACTTATTTACTTATTTTTACCTGGCCTTCCGCGCTCCGTCTTATTCCCTATACTTCTTCTTTCCTCTCTGTCTCTTCCCTTTTCCGTCCCTGGACGCCGTCCTATTTCTCTCTGGCGTGTTTGATCGTTTTTCCTCTTTCCGACGAGTCCCCGTCAAGTCATTGATCTTCGTCTTGCATTGTTGCTTTTCTTCTTTCTCCGGCTTCTCTTCTTCTTCGTCCTCATCGTGATATAGTTTGGGGGACTTGTTTTGCATATATATCATTTGCCCCCCCTTATCCTTCACTGCACGTCCCCCTTTTATACCCTCCACCTCCCCCTTCCCTTCCCATTTCCCCACGGCCATATTAACTATCCGCTGGCCCCCATCTGACTGCTTGCCCTGGAACTGCATCCATCCCTGGCTGTGCAACTTCCCTGGACTCTTGCCCCCTTCCCCCAACTAGCCAAAAATAATACCACCACCAACTGCCACTGCCACTTCCGCTACTCCTCATCTTCAACTACCACCACCACCACAACCACCATCCTACCCACGGCCTTCCGTTGGACATTCCCTAGGATTTGATTGCTTATCCAAGTTGATCAACTGCATTCCTTCAATGGCTCCTTGAACAAGTGAAAGGAAAAAAAAAAATATTAAGGAAAGACTGGCGACTCTCCTTTGGTGCTCTCACTCTCTCTCTCTCTCCCGGCTATCCCGTACTTTGCTCACTGGTTTGGATGACTACCTGAAACCCGCCACCGGATTTTGGACCCCCAGGATTTATATCAACAAACCAACCCCTTACAGCCGTTGAGACAAGAAACTACCATTTACCTTCCCCTCCTTTCCTCTTCCCCCTTCCTTCTACTACTATACTCTTATTCAGGAAAAAGACTCAAGTGCCGGTGCGTGCTTTGAGTCTTATTTGCCTGCCATCAACCACCAAAGCAAGAAAAAAAGCCCATCCAAAACCTTACCTACCTTCCCTCATGCTCATGCTACCCCCTTCTCCCCTTTACGGCATGTATCCCCCCATGCCCCCCACTCCGCCTCCATCTCCGCCTATCTCCCGTTGCTATGCTCCGGAAGACCGTCTAGGATTTCTCTTGGCCAACCGCCTGGAACTCACCAGCATCCTGGGCGTCGGTGCCTATGGAGTGGTGTACACGGCCGTCGACATTCATACCAATGTTCTGTATGCTGTCAAGGCCCTCAACAAGACCGGGCTGGATCCCCGGCAGCTCAAGTTCCAGCAGCGGGAAATCAAGCTCCACCATCTGGCCAGCCAACATCCCAATGTGGTTTCCCTGGTTCGCATTATGGATTCCGTCGATTGCACCTACGTGGTGATTGAGTTCTGTCCCGAGGGCGATCTCTTCTCCAGCATTACGGAAAAGGGCAATTTCGTGGGCAATGACCCCTTGGTCAAGCGTGTCTTCCTTCAAATCCTGGATGCCGTCCAGTTCTGCCACTCCCTGGGAATCTACCATCGGGACCTCAAGCCGGAAAACATCTTGGTAACGGACCAGGGCTTGACGGTCAAGCTTGCTGACTTTGGCCTGGCTACTACCGACTACCTTACGTCGGATTTTGGTTGCGGATCCACTTTCTACATGTCACCAGGTGCGTGAATCCCTTTCCCTCCCCCCACCCGAAACATTCCGATGAAACATTTCACTGACGAAGATGATACCAAAGAATGCCAGCAACCAAATCCCCGTCCCATGTCGTGCTATGAGTCGGCACCCAATGATGTGTGGAGTCTAGGTGTTATCCTCGTCAACTTGACCTGCGGTCGCAACCCCTGGAAACGTGCCTCGATCGAGGATTCCACGTTCCGAGCCTTTCTCAAGGATCCTTACTTCCTGAAATCCATCCTGCCGCTGTCGGATGAGATGATCTGTATCCTGAACCGCATCTTTGAGTGCGACCCCTCCAAGAGGATTACCATCCCGGAGCTTCGCCAGTTGATCCTGGAGTGCCCGCGGTTTACCATGAACCCCATTGCCCCCTGGTCTGCCAGTGGACCGGTGCCCGTTGATTTCGTCAACGGACCGGTTCCGGTGTCCGTTCCCGTGGACACCTTCAACACCCAAACCTCCTCAGTCTCCTCTGGGTCATCGCAGTACTCCGACTTCTCGGAGTCTGCCGTCTCGGATGCTTCCTCCTTCACGGAAGGCTACCCCGACCTTGACAGTGTCTCGTCAATGTCTTCCGTGGGACTGGAGCCGGGACTGGAATGCAAAGATGACTTTATGGACCCCGTCCCTTGCGGTGGTTTCCCGGAGCCGCATCTTGCCCATGCCCCTTTTACCATTCCAATTCCCGTTTGCTAAAACTGGACTTCACACTGTCCACCCACCCTACAAGGGAAAGCAACATAAGCAAAACAAAACCAAAAAAAAGAAAAAGGCCCCACTTAACGCAGGTTTACGATTTACGGCAATTCTTTCGATATTACATCCCACTGGATTTGGATCTTTACTACTACTACACCTATTCTTGGATCATCTCCGCCTTGCATTATTCCAGCGACATTGTATTATTTCCGCAGGAGGAAATCCGAGGAGATCGATTATTCTTCTGGACATACGCCTTTTCTATTTCCCACTCTTTACACCGTTGGCTTCCATTCCTTGGAGTTTGGATATTATACCCGGATTGACATCCATTGGAGCTCAGCCGTCGGGCATAAATTGCCCTTTTGAGAAACGGAGTTCTGTCAGCTCGCCCTGCGAGTCCGTTGGAAGGCAGAAACCGTGGCTTTGTTATTATTAATTTGTCACCACATTGGGAGGATCTCTTGCGTTTCTGGTGAATATACTTGTGTTTGGTGTTACTGGGTGGTGTTGCTGGCGTTTTCACTCACCATCAGCCATTGGCATGGAAAGAAGAAAAGAAAAATACCCCCCGGAGCAGAGACGAAGCATTTGCATTTTGATTGTCGATTTATCGCTAGGAGTTGGATGGCACTACTTGGTCGCTCTTTTGGGATGATACCTTGAGTCATTGGGACTATTCTTCTTCTACTTCGTTTTTCTACTACTCTACTACTATTACTTCATTTTACATAATCTGTCGATAAATAGTTTTGATTTCGGACTGGATCTCCTGCTGGAAACTATCAGGGGGGAAGCCGTCAGATTGATCTTCAGTCTGGCTGGCTGTGGTGAAGAGGCTGGAGTGTGTGTGTGTTTTCGGTGCAACCGCGTGAACCAGGGTGGAACAGCCTTGGATACGATATCTGCAATAGACGAGGACTAGACGATGCTATTTTCTCTCTCTACCTTCCTGCTGGTACACTGACTTTGGGCCTGATGACACGCTCTTCCAGTAAGACCCACGACGTGAAGCTGTGGTCCACTGGCGAGTCGCCGTCTGTTCCCTGCTATGCTGTAGCAGTCTAGCACGTCCAGTCAATGCTGCTGATGCAACCGTCAGCCGGCGCCTACTGCGAGAAAAAAATTTATGACACTGGAGTCTGGTCTGGACTTCCCGTCTACCCCTGAGGAGAGGGGCCAGCTGTCCGACGGGGAGGCAGCCACCAGGCGGGTGAGCAGACCTGCCTCGACCAGTCATTATCTTATAACCCTCTACTACTATTGAGTGTGACCTGGCTGGCCTGGTCAGATTGGGGCAGCCTTCGCAGGCAGCCTTAACTTTTGGACCACTTATGATTGACGATGAAGCGAAACAAAACAATTGGCTTTGTACTATATGATACCATGTATGATAGATACCTACTACCCTACCAAACCAAACCAGAACCAAGAATGCGACTTCTGATATCGCATTACACCACCCACATCCTTCCTATACTTCACTCATAGATCAATACCTAGCTACATAAATGATAGACCAATAAATTAAAGGAATAGAATTACATATTCCTCCCCCCCGTAACCCTAATCGTCTCCCCACTCACATACGAAAACAACGGACTGGCCACTCCCAACACCGCCCTCGCCGCTTCCTCCGGACTAGCCGGCCGTCCCAGTGGAATATCAGGATACTCAGGACCCTTCTTCTTCTGCTCAGTAGATGCTCCACCTCCAGTCCGTCTACTATCCAACTGCTTCCCCGGAATCCCCAACGCCACCTTCGTCCCATCCGCCATGGCAATAAACGCCCCGTCCTCCTTGGCCGCAGTCAACCGGGTATTCACGAACCCAAACGCGATGGTATTCGCCCTCACACCAAACGCAGGACCCCATTCTTTCGCAATGGTTTTGGTTAGTCCGGTTATGCCTGCTTTCGCGACGGCGTAGTTGGCTTGGCCGCTACAAACCCACCACCAGTATAAAGTAATTAGATTGCGTGAATGTGAGAAGGGTAGTAGGGGATAAGGGGATAACGTACGCATTCCCATGCACCCCACTCGTACTACTAATATTGATCACAACGCGGGATTCGCCGTCCTTCACGCGGAAGTATTTTGCTGCCGCGCGGATGAGTTTAAATGGGGCTGTCGCGTGGATGGCCAGCATGGTGTTGAATTGCGTATCTGTCATCTATAATATACCCACATTGATTAGTATATCATTCCAATTATCTGGTATATATAGTATAGATATCTGTTAAATATTGTGGGAGGAGGGGGGGTAGGGCATACCTTATGTATAACCCCATCCCAAGTAAACCCTGCATTATTGACAATGATATGGATTTTCCCACCACCGAAGTCCGCGGCCTTGGTGACGAGTTCTTCAATGTATGCGTCGTTGAGAATGTCACCGGGGACTGCGAGTGCCCGGGGGGTAGTACTATTGTGGGTTGCGTTGATGGAGGTTGCGACGGCGGTGGCTTTTTCTGTTTATTCCATAGTATATCATATATATATTAGCATGACTATCTCTTTCTCTTGAAGTAATTGGGTTCCGTATGATTGATTGGTGTGGGGGGAGGGATACCTCCGTCTATATCAGCTATAATCACCTTTGCTCCCTCGTTGGCGAACAAGCGGGCGGTTTCGGCGCCGATGCCTTGGCCTGCGCCGGTGATGATGGCGACTTGGTTGGCGAGCAGGCCGTGGGGGTAGTTCAGGTGGGAGGTTATTTGGGAAAGACGGTCCATCTTTTTTCTTTTTCCTTTCTTCTTCTTCTTTCTTATTTGCTTCTTCCGGGGTTGTGGTATGTGTGAGTGTGGTTGTTGTGTAGTGGAAAGTAGGTAGTTGGAGGTGTGGTGGGGATGATATAAGAGAGGAGGATCTACAATGCGGAGATGGATATGCCGAGGCTCGTTGGTCTGCCGAATGCCGCTCGGTTCCTGGACTAGTAGGGAATATTGTTACATACTACATAACGATGTATAAAGTAGGTGAAGATATTAATCAATTTGAATCTACGTGCACAGATTATCCGACATCGCTCGTAAAATTGTCTCAACCATCGTATCATACCCCCCCAGCATCTGCTGGAACCATTCCACCTCCAATCCGTCCGTCCCATTGAGCTCCCGGAGCTCGGGACTCAGATGTCGGCTCATTTCAACTGCGTCCTTGAGCAGTCCCAGTACCTCTCGGCACTGCAGGGCCCGTCCTCGGATGAGGTACCGGCGGATCCGGCGCGTCTCGTCCGGGCCCATCTCGTAGTCGCCGTAGGGGACGATCATGTTGTGGCCGCCAGCCGGCGCGGATGAGAGCTCATACGATGTCCAATACTCGAAGAGCTGAAGTGTGATATCCAGTATGGATACTGAATACAGTAGGTTTGTGTGGTCCTTGTGGCAATTGGGACATCGGAGAAAGTTCCGACACACGGTCAATGCGATCTTGATGCCCTGTAAAATCTGGTCCAGCCGTAGATGCATGCTGTCTGCCAGCATGTTCCGGATCTGGTTTACGTTGTATAGGAGTGCGTTGGTGCATTCACAGGGCTGTAATGGGTTGGGGATGTGGACGGCGAGCGGACAGCCGGTGAAGCCCCGGGAGATGAACTCTTTGGGAAGGAATGGTGGTGACATGGAGGGATTGAACATAGGGGCCAACGTCTCCCCTATTGACGGATACTCCATGGTTGGATCGGTCAGCAACGTCGTGTCAGTCATATTTGCCCCGTGGCTATCAGGGCTTCTGGACTGACTGGCTGGGCTCGTGCTTTGCGTACTCTATAACCATTAGATATTACCCTTAACGAGCACAGATGAAACGCACCGTTGCGTCGACCCCGTTGTCAGTATCATAGCTGACACGAGGCGGTTGTCCTTTGGCTACCGATTCTACCCATCCGTTGGCAGGTATTGTAGGCTTCTTCTCGTCTTGCAACTGCCCAAGTTTTCGCAGCGTGGCCCGGTTCTTGCTCCCTTTTGGCTTCCCAGAACGATTGGCGACGCGATACCGACAGGGCAGCCCATGACGCATACAGCGAATGCAGGTGTCCTTCCCAGATAGGTTACATTTCACCTTCGACTGTCTGCAATTTTCGCAAGCAGCCCGGAGCTTCGGTGGATCTCCGTTGCTGACGGGGTTTTCGGTTTCGGCCAGCATTTATATTGTTCAGACACAGAATGTAATGTAGAGTCGTCTTCTAAGATCAAAGGAACAACGCGGTGAAGTCGGGCAAACGGGGGCGAAACCACCGGGAATATCTAGGAGAAAGAGGGAAAATCGAACAACCTTTTCATCAGGACATCGACCAGCGCAATCTTATATATACCAGCCCGCCCTGGCATGCAGGGCTCGTATCGGGATTCATGAACCGACGGCAAGCGCAGATGAAGTCAGCCGTTGTGAAACCCTAAGATTTCATCTGATCCACCTCGCATGGGAGCCGTGTCCAGTCCTCCAACTGGCAGATTCTTCAGCAATAGTCCAACTGACCTCCATCTTACTTGTCAGAAATGGTAAATGCCAGATTGCTTGGCTACTGGCCCAACTGCCTCTGATAGGGGCTGCCTACCTCAGCCAGTGCCGCGAGGGACGGTCCTCCAACGTAAGAAGCCTGGAAGAATAAGCTCAGGTGCAACATCGTCGTCAAGTTCAGTGGGGGCCGCTAGGCCGAATAACTCTAATGTGCTCGAAGGAGCCACGACGATGCAAGACTATTGTGTCTGACGTAGCATCCAATGAGGAACCGCAGCATGCCGTCTAGGGTGATTCTATCGGTATGCAGGCCAGCACACCATGTGAGCTGTAAATCGATGCGGGAACGCATCCCTATTCGCTTGCCCGGTTTGGAATACCCAGGCAAGCGGTGAACGTTCGTGCTGTCGCAAGACCCAAGGTCTATTCTTATGATTGTATCCTGGACTTCCCCTCGTTTGCGTCTTTTTCCCTCTTTTCCTTTTATTAATGCCTTCTGGGGGGAGGAGAGTTTCTGCAATGCTTCTCTCATGTCTGGCTTGCCATGTTGCAATGGTCAGCATGTGAAATCCAAGGTTAGACATGTCTCGTATCAGCCGTGAAGACGTCAGCATCACCATCATGTCATCTCTATTACTTCTTGAGGCGATTAAGTTATGGCTACAGGTGGTAATGTTTAGGGGGGCGCCGCGCCCCCCTCCCCCCTTCTCCCCCCTCCACAGGACGTCCTGCCTGTGCGATGTCCCAAGGCTCAGCGGGCGAATCATTGCGCGGCCCCAAGACAACTGTCTGCAATCCCGCTGTGTCTGTAATCAAATGCCTTTAGCAACCCGGTCAGATGAGCAATGGCAGCGCAGACCACCAGCACATGAAAGATCTGGTGGGAGCTGCCCCAGAGATCGAAGCGGCCTGGTCGCAAGCGCTCCGGCACCCGGGCCGCATAGATGGTTGCTCCCAAAATGTACAGAAAACCTTGGAGAAGCAGCCAGCCGAGCCCGATTTGGCGTGTCATCCGCTCCAGACCGTACAAGCGTAAGCCGTGGATCACGGGGAACACCGCTGACAGACCCATGCCGACAAACATGGACGCACGGAATGGCCGCCACCGAGGCGTCCGGAAATGAGGGAAGATCGAAACAAGGATGCAGCCAAGACCGAGAGCGCAGATCATCGTCCAATACAACCGTTGCAGATCAGGCATACAGTAGAATCCAAAGTACACGCTAGGCACGAAGCTGCCCACGATAAGCCCTACGATACCAACATAGTCAAACGTGTTTCCGATGCGGGCCACGAGGGGAGAATGATTCGAAATGGTATGATATGTTGCAGACATGCCCAAACAGAAGGCTGCCCCCGCGAAGAAGCATCCAAAAGCAACCAGATCCGCCTGGGTGGCACTCTCATATCGCGGAGCTAGTGCCCGATAGAGAAGCCCAGCCGCTGGAACAGCCAGTAAAGACGGCAGCAGATGCGTGTAGATGTTGACCGTTTCATTGTGAAGGTAGGTCAAGGACTGCAGGGAGACCAGAAGAGAGAACGATGCCGGCCGATAGCCCGTGTGAATGTGCTGGTTGTCGCGCTGCCAATGGGGCAGATCATCCCAGTGAAGAAGCTTTCTGATGACTTGGGAAGGCTGTTCCAACACCGCAGCTGCCACCACAGCAGGCTGGCTGGTACCCAGATCCTTCTCATGGACTTGAGTGGGGCGACGCTGGCGAGTGGACATATTCCTCACATGCAGCATGCAGACAGAGTGACAGATCCCAGATCTCCGGTGAGCAGATGGCTGGCGGCTGCTCCGTAATCGGGGTGGTCCTCTAGGGAGTATACGCGTGAGAATGAGGTAAGATGACCGTCTAACAAGAACAGAAAAAGAAATATGTACACGGGAAAGCAGAGAAAAGGGTCAAAAAGAAGCAAAACAACCCCCAAAAAACACCCCAATCCGAAGTGATGGTGAGGAACCTGAAGAAGAGCGTTGGGGATTCCGCGGAGTATCGCCGTTCCCTTTTGGGACTTTTGGCTCGTTGGGAAACCTGACAAACAGTGCAAATGAAACAAACACCGCGGCACTTCCCCGACGGGATCCCCGCAGATCATTCACCAGTCCATCAACTTTGGATAGCTTCATTCTCCAATTCGAGCATGACGCAATATCAATAACCTCCCTCTGTTTTCTTTTTTGAAATCCACTATATATATACATCATGGCTGGTCATGCGCAGCCCGGAAAGGCCCCAGGCAGTCGGTTAAAGCCCGTGGCAGACTCGCTCGACACCGTGGGGTTTGTATCCAAAGGCGATCAAAAGTATGCTCACGGCCTCCTGATACCCGTGGTGGAGCGACGATGCGGTTACCTGCGGCAGTGCTGACGCTCACAGATTGCTAGACCACAAGGTTCAGAAAGAGTACTATGACAAGATTGTAAATCGGTACATGGAGTTCTGCGCTCGCCATTCCAAAAACCTAGAAGCGGCATGGACGTCCCTTCCCAGGAGCGCTTCGAGCGATGCCACCAGCAATCCGCCAGCTTCTCTTCCCTCCTCAAACAATAAGTCGACAGGGCCCCGTAGTCCTTCCCCATCCGCAGAACTATCCACCATCCTCCTCTCCCTCCGCAAGCTGCGCGAGGCGGTTTTGGCTACCAGCTCCAAGATTCCCATATCTTTCTCCCAGCAAGTCCACATCTTTTCCATCAAGCTCGCGATTCAAGCCCGACATCCTCCATCATACTTTCCTTCCTTTCGTTACATCCTCGAGGATTTACACACTTCTTCTCACCCCTTGCCGGACTCTGACTTGAAAGATCTCATTTCGTATTGGATCCTGGATTACGCCTGTCGACAGGAGGACATGGTTGCGGCTTATCAGCTACGTGCGCGTGCCCGCAGACGATACGGTTTTCAGTCATCGACTATAGACCGTGTATTGAACGCCCTGGCACATGATAACTGGATTGTGTTCTGGCAGATTCGGCAAGATGTAGATTCCCGGATGCGCGCCGTCATGAATTGGGCTGAAGACCGCGTCAGACGACATGCTCTCAAAGCAGTCGGCAAAGCTTATCTCAGCACTGACACCCGATGGATCACCGAAGGTTGCACCGGTGACAGTAATTGGACATGGGAGAACCTGGTAAAGGCGGAGAGCCTGGGTTGGGAGAAAGAGGGCGATAGAATCATTATTCGGAAGCCGAAGCAAAGACCGCAAAATAATCTTGCACCCATAAAGGAGAATCCATGATGTTATCGCGGATAATGTCATTGCTGCATCGTTAATTGGCGCTTATACGGGCATTGGCGGAGTATGGCGTTTGTTTCAGGTGTATAGACAGCTATATGGCAGGAGGATCCGACAAGCATTTTTAGTATAGCGCACCAGTCTTAGAACCTGGGATCTCCTTGCCATTGAAGTGTAGACTTTTCGTGATCCTTGCTGCCGTCATTAAAGTTTGAAGTCCCCGTTAGGCCGATCAAGATTAGTAGTCCCAGTGACGGGTTGTCTGGCCACAGTCTCTACAAGGTCGGTCTTTAGCTTGGCGGATTTATCGGAACAGAGCTCATAGACTGTTGAGAGGTTGAACACGAGACTCGAGAACGAGTGATTTGTGTGCACCAGTGACTCAAGGACCTCACGTGCCTGTGGCAGGGTTAAGCACGGGCTTGGTGGTAGGTAATCTCAGGGGAATATGACTTACTTCGTTCAACCTACCAGTGTACAACAAGCACACCGCCAGGTTCTGCGAGATCATGGACTCATCGGGTCTGTGTTCCTCGTTGCCAAGTAAGGCGCGCCATTCAGCCACTGCGTCGTCGTACCGACCCTCGGCCATACTGAGAAGCGGGCGGAACACGGTGTTCCCGGCATCGCTCTCTTCGCCACACACCTGCCTCGCAGCATCAAGATCGCCAATTATGAGCATCAAAAGTACTTTCCTCAGTTTGTTGATCTCGCTTTCCGACTCCGCCATGCGTAAGCTAGCGAGTGACCTCCTGGCGGCATCCAAATCCCCCATTTCAATGAGCGCGTTCACATTTCTCATCCCGAGGTCAGACAGTCGTTCTCTCCACAACTTACGCTCTTCGGGGTCCATATCTGGCCGCAGAATCTCCCTTCGCGCTTCCAAGCCAATCTCGTAGAGTCCACCGATGCCCCTACGTGAGTCGCCGAACCCAATGCTCTGGAGTCTGATAGCCAACACCCGTAGGGGCCATGGTACGATGTGACGAGGATAGTTTGAGTGCTTATCAGACGTCCCGGAAATCGGTTCCACATAATAGAATGCGGAGCTCAGGTCTTCAAGCGCCTTTGATTCTTGCGCTGCAATGATCGTATTTCCAGATAGTTGCAGACACGCTAGCCGAGTGTAAAAAAGAGCAAAGATTCGTTTGATGTCAGTAGCCGAGATCAAAGAAGATGTTAAGATCGTTCCACACAAGTAAGCGGCGAGCAAAAAGTGGCCTTCAGCCAGAAGCCGTTCAAGAGTGGCCAGGCTTGTGGACAGCGATTCATCTGACGTTGGGGCAAGGAACTCGGAGCGAAGCGCGTGCGGTATTTCTACCTGAGAGAGAGAATGATACACATCATACCGAAGTAGGTACGAGAGGTCTTTCTCCACTGTTGGTGGCAGTTCATCCGGCCCCAATGGGTCCAGTCTGCTAAATGAAGCGCCGGTAAATCCACCATCGCCTGCTGTAGCTGGTCTTGGGGATGCGGCTGTGTTCACCGTTTCGGAGCCGAGCGGGCTTGTAATTGTTAGTATAGACCTAATTCATCAAGCAGATTCGCTGCTCACTCATCTGGCTGATCTAGAGGGCCCTTCGTCGTGCTACGCGGCCTTGAAGCTAGGACGAATCAGCCTTGTATTCTTCAGATTGCCGATGATACAACAAGCATCGAACATTAATGCTCCTTACATCTAGAGACATTGCGGGTGTGTTTGGTTGGCGAAGCATCCATAGCTGTAGCAATTAAAAAGGCAACAGTAATTGATGATTAGCCTTGCGAAAATCTCTTAAGGCTTATACTCAGTCCCCACGGTGAAAATCCTTCTGTTGGGATTCGAAGAGCTCCTTATCTAGGAACCGGGGAAAGTTGCTGGCAGCATAATAATGCGGGATCCCCGACCTCAAAGGCGGAAGAGGCCATTCTGCCGCGCGGTGAAGGGATCGGCCCGGACAGACAAACTGGCCCCATTCAAACCGTCAATCGCGTCTACTCCCGACTAGTAATCTTAAGTAGTAGCCTCACGATCACCAACCGACCATACTTCCCACTTCTATATAAAGGCTGTTCCCGGCATCGCACCACAGTTGCTTTATACTTTTTGATTTGAATCGTTACCAAAGTTTTACCGGTATCCTGCACCTTCGTCCGGCACCATGACTCTCGCCGAGGAGCTCCGCTCGAGAAACTTCAGTACGGACTTGCCTTGTTTACCTGATTTATTCTTTGACATGCGAAGCAAGGGATAACTAACAACTCATCACTTAGGTATCTACGGACAATGGTTTGTACCGCTCTTCTCTGTTCCCTTTCTCGCCCGCTGCTGCCCAACTGTGCGCCTTTGCAACATTTGCGAAAACAAATCATGGTTGCCTGGATCTTCAGCGCTTGGCGCTGTCATGAAAGGACCTCCATCAGTTGCCGCCTTGGGCAACCGTGTACTCTGAATGATTGCGCATAAATTTTGGGGGACTGCGACAACAATGGAGCAATAATTATGGCGTCTACCGGACTAGTTTGCTAATCGATATCTGACGTAGGACGGGCGTGATCTGCATCGTCTTGTGCTTGGCTCTCGGTATCGCCAACATCTTCTCGTTCGACGTCGTGATCATCATCTTTAGTGTTCTGTGCCTGTAAGTACTCACCTGAATTTCTTACACTGGTCTCAGACGCTTACAATACACAGCATCTCTGGTTTGATCCTCATCTTCGCCGAAGTGCCCTTCCTCCTCAGAATATGCCCCACATCACCGAAGTTCGATGCATTTATCCGACGCTTCACCACAAACTGGATGCGCGCTGCAATGTATACAGTGATGAGTGTTGTGCAATGGCTTAGTCTTATCAAGTCCGCTACCAGTTTGATTGCGGCTGCCGTCTTCCTACTCATTGCCGGTTTATTCTATGCGCTGGCGGGTCTCAAGAGCCAGGAATTCGTCGGCAGCAAGACTTTGGGCGGCCAAGGTCTTGCGCAGATGATCGTTTAAGACTATGATCAGAGATGTGATCTATGAAGCTAAGGTACGCCCATTCGCCTGCCATGCGGCTATTGTATATGCCGTCTTCAGCATGCGTCCTCCGAGCTCGAAATGAGCCAAATGTAGTTGTATGCTAATCATCTCCTGCAGGTGACTAACATGGAACTGAAAAAGAGACGGCTAGCAGAACCATCTCTGGGCTGAATGCGCCACGATTATGAATCGACTGTGCTGTTCTTGACGCTGCCGAGCAGGGTCTTGTACTCGTATAGCATACTGTTTTGAGAAATTGGGACCCTTACGGCTCGAGCTACTGAAGCTTCTACTCATGCTTTGTTGATCTTTCTTCTTTGTTTTGTATTTCCAGTCCTGTTCTTGCTCTTGAGACTTGCTCAAAAACTGTTGCAATGAGTTTTAGATGAATCATGTAATATTTACCATCTCGCCCCAGCGAATACCCGATTAGCATCCTGGCGATGAATGAATGGAATTGTTTGCATAAATTCTGCTGTAGGGGCCGTGATCTATGAATACGCTCCCCACCGCGGAAACAAAAATGAACACATCTTAAATGAAGCGATCTTCTATACTACTAGTAACTAGTTACATTTGGGTGCAGGATTCGTGTTGTGCCCGTGATCGTGCATAGCTGACTCAGCGGTGAAGTTATCCCCAGATAAGATAAGCACAACTCATCCAAGCGAAAACCCTCAAAATTCGACTCCGCCGAAACAATCGAAATCCCACACGCCGACGCCGAACCGCTACGCCAGACGACGTGCCCCCTCTCCTCCCCACCCATCCCCCCCGACCGTTTGCCGGACAATTTCCTACTCGTCGACAGACGTACTTCTATCGCAAAATGTCCTACGAAGAGCGCGCCAACGCGCACCCCAACCTGGGCGACGAGTCCGATGTGGAGGAGGAAGCGCTTGTCAACGACTACCGCGAGCAGGTCAACTTCGATGATGGCATGAGCGAGTTGGACAGAACGACATCCCTTGGAGGTGGTTCCCAGACGCAGGACCTCCAGGCACAGCTCGCTGCTGCTGCCACCCCGCTCGAGTACCAGGCTACCCTCGAGACCAAGTTCGCAAGCTACGACAACTACTGCAGCCTTTTCCACTACATCCTGAACTCTGATGGTCCGGTTGAGCTCGAGGTTCCTTCTGTATGTACTACTCCGTCTGTCAGGAGCGGCGGGCAGCGGCTACGGCTGCAGCTATATTTGATACACGCTTCGCTGCCTTGATCTGCAATTGTGTGCGGTTGATTCGCCGCGGTTGATACACTGTGCTAACTAGCCCATTTTATTGTCAATAGTACTACTGGGCCTGGGATGTCATCGACGAGTTCATCTACCAGTTCGAATCTTTCTGCCGCTACCGCAACCGTGTCGCTCGCAGCGGCTCCAACGAGGAGGAGGCCCAGCTTCTCCGTGAGAACCCGAACACGTGGGGTTGCTACTCCGTGCTGAACGTCCTCTACTCCCTCATCCAAAGGTCGCAGATCAACGAGCAGTTGGCTGCCATCAAGCGTGGTGAGGACCCCTTGGCGTTTGCCGGAGAGTATGGCTCCCGCCCTCTGTACAAGATGCTGGGATACTTCTCCATCATTGGACTCCTGCGTGTCCACTGTCTGCTGGGTGACTTCAGCCTTGCCCTCAAGACTCTCGACGACATCGAGATGAACAAGAAGGCCATGTTCGCCCGTGTTATGGCGGCCCACTTCACCACCTACTACTATGTCGGTTTCTCCTACATGATGATGCGTCGCTATGCCGATGCCATCCGCATGTTCAGCCACATCCTGGTCTACGTTTCCCGGACCAAGAACTTCCAGAAGGGTGGCAACAGCTACGATGCCATCGCCAAGAAGAACGACCAGATGTACGCTCTCATCGCCATCTGTGTCGCTCTCCACCCCACTCGCCTGGATGACACCATCCACTCCGCCCTGCGTGAGAAGTACGGCGAGCAGCTCAACCGCCTGCAGCATGGTGGCCCCGAGGCCCTTCCTCTGTTCGAGGAGCTCTTCCGTTCGGCCTGCCCCAAGTTCATCAGCCCCACCCCTCCCGACTTCGAGAACCCGGCCCTCAACGTCGACCCTGTTGACCACCACACCGCCATCTTCATGGATGAGGTTAAGAACACCCTGTACAACCCTACCATCCGCTCCTACCTGAAGCTCTACACCACCGTGGACCTGAAGAAGCTGGCTGGCTTCTTGGAGGTCGAGCCCGAGAAGCTCCGCTCTTGGCTCCTCATCAACAAGCAGCGCAGCCGTCAGGTGCGCTGGGTTGAGGGTGGTCTTCTGGAGGGCGAGCCGGTCAACGCCAACGACCTCGACTACGCTCTGGAGAACGACCTTATCCACGTCAGCGAGACCAAGGCCGGACGTCGTCTGGTGGACTGGTACCTCAGGAACCTTGCTCGTGTCTACTAAGTCCGAGTACGCTACAGCGACCCCTTCTTGTGTCAAGGCGCATATCCCTCCGTCTTTTGACTTAAGATATGCGTCCGGTCTGTAACAAGACCCACGAGGGGTACTCAATCTCAGCAAGGAACCACGAGAGACACTTTGAAGTGCAAACGGAAAGAAGGGGGTGTGGTCCAGGAGATATCATCAGCTGGGAAGGGGATCGTCGGAAATCGAGTCCAAGTCGTGTTTTTCGAACGGGTCATTTACCCTCTCAGCTTTGTGGCCCGTTCACTCTCACGTCTTCCCCACCCTACCAACATCATGATTTTTTTTTATCTTATCTATTTATTTATTCTGTCCTCCGCTTCCATATCTTGCTTCGATTGTCCATGCTTCTCATTACTCAGGGGGTTGGTTGCACAACCCTTGACCATCCTGGTTATACGGGTTTGGAGTCGACAAAAAGAATTCTTTATTTCCTTTTTGTTTCATATTTGAGGAAATGTTCAAGGCGTATCCCATTATGCTTGTGTTTGGTTTTGCTTCCGGTTCGACACGGTCTGGTCTGTGTGCATCGAGCTGTTTGTGTCTTAGCTAGCAGAGGACAGACAGGGATGTAGAATCTGCATGATGAAATAGATGATGACTTAAGCATATGTTTTCCACAAAATATCTATAGTAAATAAGAAGAAGCAAGGCGTGGGGGTATAGCATTACTCTATCTCATATTCTAGTATGATACACATATACAGTTGAAGTTGGGTCCAGGAATGATACCTATCTAGCTAGGTCCTCATTCAGTCCTGAACATCAAAACTCGTCCCGCATCCACAGTTACTCGTCGCGCGCGGGTTATCCACAATCTTAAACTGACTTCCAATCAACTCCATCGTATAATCCACCGTACTGCCCGAAAGAAGCTCCAGCGATGGCTCGTCCATAACTACTTTAGCTTCGCCGGCGCCCGCTGCCTCCGCCTCACCTTCCTCAGGCTCGGCTGCGAAGATAGTATCTTCCTCCGCATCGATCTTGGATGCGGCCTCCAGGGACATCAGATATTGGAATCCATGGCATCCACCGCTTGTGACGGTGATGCGGAGATGGTGGTAGGGGTTTTCTTCTTTAGTGATGGAGGGGGATGAAGAGGGGTCTGTTATTTCGCGAAGACGCTGTTGAAGACATGTTAGTTTGTGGTTTAACAAGGTCACTTCAGCGAGTTAAAGAGCTAAAAAGTAATATTGTTCCCTCCGGAGGAGGGAAAAAATTGCAAAAACATACAACAGAAGGGATTCGCTGGTGGTCACCCACCCAACTACTAACCTCCCGGCGTGTGGCTTAAGTACGGCTGAGCGGACGGGAAGCCCTGTTCTCCACACCCTGTGGTCGTATGTACTTGTTTCATACTTCAAAGGGCTTATATTGTGGCTGACAGTAAACTAGCTCCGGTGATCCGGCGCATTTGTTGCCAATGCGCCTGACTCCGTTTCGCTCTCTGAACTCAACTCAAGCCGTACCATCGCCACATTTTCGCAATCCTCCTTTGGAAATGTACAGTATATGTATGCGGGGATAGAAAAAGGAAGGTTGTTTCAACGTACCTCCGCAGCCCTCGGCGAGATATTGATCAACAAGTCCTTCCCATCTTCATCAACTCTCGGGTTTTGTAGCACCTTGGTAGCTGGCCGGATGCTCGTAGTAGAAAAGGAAGAGCGTTGTCCGAAAGCGTCAAAGCGGAATACTGATCGTGATGATGACGAGCTCGCCCGGGGGCAAAGGAATCTAGGCCGGAGCGTGGATCGCTGGGAAACGGTATCGCAGAAAGATGCGGAGAAGCTCAATGTCGGCAACGTTGCCGGGGAAAGTGCAGAAACCGCGGTGCGAGGAGAATGGGAGCGAGAGATCCGGCGGGCGGCTGTTGAGAGGATCGGACGGGACATGTTTGTCGTCATAGAGGGGAGAGTAGGTGTTAGGAAAGGCGACTGAAGGAGAGCTTTTGGTGAAAGAGAATGAAGATTGGATTGATAATATGATCGGAGGCTCGGAGCAGCCATCGAAAAGTAGGTATTATTGTCGTTAGTCAGAGGGTTCGGGATGACGCCATTGGTCGATCGGGGACCGGCAAGAAGCGGCAGAATCGAGATAATCGCGGGGAACTTCTTTGGTTTTGCTTGACAGTTCCATTGACTGTAGCTTCTTCTTCTCTGATGTTGCCTATGGTTGTATAGTAGACGAGGGTTTTGGATATATTCATTTTATTTCTCTTCGCCAGTGCATAGTACTCCCGTCATACCGAGGGAGATTGTGAATCATGAGTTCTCAACTTGGACATGAATCGAGCGTCAGCTCCCCGCTTTCTTACAAGACTGATAGCAATGCCTTCACCAGGGAATATGCAGAGTCTCTGGATGCACAGGACCCTTTGCGTGATTTCCGAAAGGAATTTATTATACCCTCTAAAGTTGATCTGAAAAGGAAAACTTTAGCAATTGACGATAGTTGTACGTGTCGTAGCGTCATTATTATATTGTCTTGGTGTCACTAACCAATTGTCCTCCCATTAAGCCAAGGATGAGTCTGACCCCAGGTGTATATATCTCTGTGGAAACTCATTGGGCGTTCAGCCTCGCAATGCCCGCAAGTACATTGATTATTACCTACGAACATGGGCTATCAAGGGCGTAACTGGACATTTTCTCCCGCACGAGGACCAATTGCTTCCACCATTTGTTGACGTCGATGACGCGGGTGCGAAGCTCATGGCGCCAATTGTGGGAGCTTTGGAAAGTGAAGTGGCAGTCATGGGCACGCTGACGGCGAACCTACACTTCTTGATGGCGAGCTTCTACCGCCCGACCCAGGAGAGGTATAAAATTATCTTGGAAGGAAAGGCGTTCCCAAGTGACCATGTAGGTTCAGATTCGACGATTATTTGAAGAGCAAGCACTTAATTCATTGAGTATAGTACGCTATCGAGTCACAAATTCGCCACCACAATCTTCGCCCAGAGGATGCCATGGTTCTCATCGAGCCGGAAGATCGCTTGAAGCCGATTCTGCGAACGGAGCAAATCCTCCGGGTTATTGATGAACATGCCTCAAGCACAGCGCTTGTGCTCCTTTCTGGTATTCAGTTCTATACAGGACAGTACTTCGATATCGAGAAGATTACCGCGCATGCCCAATCCAAGGGGATCCTCGTTGGCTGGGACTGTGCGCATGCAGCAGGCAATGTTGACCTGCGCTTGCACGACTGGAATGTAGATTTTGCTGCATGGTGCAATTACAAGTACCTCAACAGTGGTCCGGGTGGGATGGCAGCTTTGTTCGTGCATGAGAGACATGGCCGAGTCGATATGGACAAGGTTGGCAGTGATGAGGAGCCATTTCGTCCGCGCCTCTCAGGTTGGTGGGGAGGCGACAAGAAGACTCGCTTCCTTATGAACAACAGTAGGCTTTTTTTCTAATACTGTTTACCTCAGTCACTAACTGAGGACCGCAGACTTCCTTCCGCAGACAGGTGCTGCAGGATTCCAGCTATCCAATCCTTCCGTTCTGGATATGAATGCGGTTGTGGCGTCACTTGAGTTGTTCAATCGGACGTCAATGGCTGAAATCCGACAAAAGTCCTTGAACGCCACTGGCTACTTGGAGCATCTCCTTCTGAACTATCCTGCAGACTTCCCCACTGGGAAGCGACCTTTCTCCATCATTACACCTTCGAACCCAGCAGAACGTGGTGCACAACTCAGTTTGCTATTGGAACCGGGTCTTTTGGATAGCGTCTTGGAGACACTAGAAGAACACGGGGTTGTAGTCGACGAAAGGAAGCCCGACGTCATCAGAGTTGCACCGGCACCTCTGTACAACACGTACACGGAGGTGTGGGAGTTTTGCCAGATCTTCTTTGAAGCCTGTCAGAAGGCCTTGAAATCACGAAAATAATTAGCGGAGAGATAAGTATATTGGCTTGCCAAGTCCGGATTGGTTTCTTCCTTATATGCCATCTTGGATATATAACGTTAGTATTAACTATTAGCTAGGACACTAGACAGATATGAATGAATCTACATAGTAGTACCCAACATACAGAACATAGTAGTACCTGTTACTTTTAGGTTGGAAATTTGAAGCACCATATGATACTGCCCATCCTATATGATAAAGATATATAATATCGAAGACGACATTAGTCGTGCCAGCCTTACCATATCCAATTATCATGGCAGCTTTCTTCCAGATGACTATAGCTTCGTATTTCTTAGTTAACACAGCATCGAACATACACTCATCCTGAACAGTCATCTCAATCATCCAAAAGCAAAATAAGCACGCTCCAACGGTTGCCGTTCTGACTCCCAAGCCAGCCAATCCGATCTTGTGGTCCTGTCGCAATGTATTAGCAATGAACAATATCCAACCAAGCGCATTTCCATGCGGAAGACGAGAACAAGACACGGAGATCACGTACGGTAAAAGTCCCATCGCATTAACCTTCCAAATTCCCAAACACAACAGCACCAGTTGCATAACGACATAGATCGCCTTCACGCCGAGAAGCTTCCCACGCGTGCCCTCGGTATCGAACTTGGCGAACACCGTGTTGGTATTGATCAGGCCCTGGATGGGGCCCTTGAACAGCATAAACACCATCATGATACTGAAGATCTGTAGACTGTTTCCGGACATGTACATCATGATCGCGTTCATGGGGATCTGCTTTGAGGGGGCGAGGGCAATTTCCCATGCCTTCTTGAGCTTCAGGGTATCGGTTTCAATGGGTTTGGACGGAGCGGAGGTGGTTGAGGACTGTTGGGCGCGGTTCTGGATTGGATGCAAATGTCGCGTTAGTATGAGCTGGAGTGCAGGAGAGGGGATGAGCATAGTAATTGATGAAGAAGACATACATTCTTGCCAGCAATTTTTCTGGAAAAGCCTGGAGGATCAGGGATGCTGGCAGCCTCTTTGGATGGGCGTGGCATGGGGGTGTTCATTCTCACCACCCATTGCGGCGGCGGTGGAGGGGGCAGAGAAGCCATGATGAACTGTGAGAGTCGAAAGTACTCTCAGTAATTAACTTCCTCGTGCCTGGGAGATATGACGCGATAGAGAGGTAGAGAAAAGGATGATGCCACAAGCCAGCCCGAGCTTGGAGATGAGGAGGGAGCGATTAGAGTGACGATGATCCGGCCGGAATCGATGGATGGATTTCTCCACCAGCGCGGAGTTGGCGGCGCCCGATCCACTCCTGATTCTCACGCTGCCTCTCCAAAGTTGGTCCAGTCGACGTCGGTTTGGAATTTACGATCATCAGGGACAGAGAGGACCCGGGGTTATTTTGATTGAGACTAGGTAAGTACAATATCGCGCTCTCGAAAAGACTTATTTCCCCCTGTGCCAGTCACGCTAACGAATCTAGTCTGCCCCCCTCCGATGCATTGAAGCTTCGGAGCAGCAGACCAACCAGCCAACTAGTCCACCGATCGTGTTCCCCTTGAAGCTCTTCGACGCCCGTGAACGGCTTCCCTTGACGACATTAAGACGAGATCACTTGCGATTTTACGTGATAGCAGACTTGGATCAGAGGATTGGAGGATCGTGAGCCTGCACCATGAGTTCCAGCGGGGGAGATGCGAAGTTGTTCGCCAGGGTGAGTACTTAATGTGCATTGGCACTGCTCTCCTTCCTGCCGCTCAATCGGACCATCCATACATGGCGTGCAAGAGCCCTTTGGCGTGTGCTTATCTTCCCGCCGCTTCCCCTCATGCTGCTCGCCTTGTTCACATGAGCCAGCGCTGGCTTTGTCTTTCCCTTCTGCGGGGGAACTTGTTCGCTATGCTCCTTATGCTGCTTCCCCCGAATCCCCTCCTCCTGGCTGGCCCCCAAATACCCCAAATATCCCCCTAGTTCGGACTACATCCTTGCATTATTATGTTCCTCAGCGTGGTTCCTTATACGGCGCAATATGGCTCACCATTTTCTCGTTCCAAACAGGGCAAAGTCGCCGAGTTGCGACAGGAGTTGAACAGTGGGGGGAAGAAAGACAAGAACCACTCGGCCAAGAAGATCGCGCTCAAGAAAATCGTCGCTAATATGACCATGAGCAATAATGATATGGTTGCTTTGTTTCCCGACGTGATTGGTTGCATGAACTTGCCCAGCTTGGAAATCAAAAAGATGTACGTCTGCCAGAAGATACTGTATCGCATCTTGTTGTATGGGGACTAAGAGTTTGTCTCACTACAGGTGCTTTCTGTTCCTGGTCAATTACTCGAGAGCGAAACCCGAGGTTGCGCTCAAAGCCTTGCCGTTCCTCATCGATGTGGGTGTCATCCTTTACGCTTGGGGGATGTGATTGCTAACCCGAACCATCTAGGATATGGAGGACTCAAATCCCCTGGTGCGTGCCCTGGCACTACGGACCATCTCCTACATCCATGTCCGCGAGTTTGTCGAAGCGACGGTGCAACCGGTTAAGCGACTGATGAGCGATATGGATCCGTACGTGCGGAAGACCGCCGCTTTCTGCGTCGCGAAGCTCTACGAGCACGATAAGAAGATGGTCGAGGCGTCAGATCTGATTGATCGGTTGAACAGCATGCTCAAGGATGAAAACCCTACGGTGGTTTCTAGCGTCCTGGCGTCCTTGGTGGACATTTGGGGTCGCAGTGAATCGATCTCTCTGACTATCGACTACACCAGTGCCTCGAAGCTCGTTTCGATCTTACCAGACTGCTCTGAGTATGTGGCCGTGCTCTTGTGTTTGCTGCAGGTTACTGACGTTGCGTAGATGGGGCCAGTCTTACATCCTCGAGGCTTTGATGTCCTACGTCCCTCAAGACTCCGCAGAATCACTGTTGTTGGCAGAGCGAATAGCCCCTCGCCTGTCACACTCCAACTCTGCCGTTGTCCTGACTTCTATCCGCGTTATCCTCTACCTCATGAACTACATTGCCGACGAAAGACATGTCACCTCCCTTGCGAAGAAGCTATCACCACCCCTTGTCACTCTTCTCTCCAAACCACCAGAAGTACAGTATCTGGCCCTCCGAAATGCCATCCTTATCCTGCAGAAGAGGCCCGAAGTGCTCCGCAACGATATCCGCTGCTTCTTCTGTAACTACAACGATCCGATCTACGTCAAAGTCACCAAGCTGGAGTTGATCTTCATGCTAACCACCAAGGAGAACATTTCCGTGGTTCTTGCAGAACTCAGAGAGTACGTTGGTCCCTCTCTTCCTCTGGCCCTAGTCACTAACAGTTCCATAGGTATGCGACCGAGATCGATGTTCACTTCGTGCGCAAGGCAGTGCGTGCCATTGGAAAGCTCGCCATTAAGATCGAGTCCGCCGCAAAACAATGCATCGACACCCTGCTGGAACTGGTCAACGCGAAGATTCCCTACATCGTCCAGGAGGCGACGGTTGTTATCCGTAACATCTTCCGCAAGTACCCCAACCAATACGAGAACATTATCGGCAACGTGATTCAGAACATCGACGAGCTCGACGAACCCGAAGCCAAGGCTGCCATCATCTGGATCATTGGCCAGTACGCCGACCGCATAGAGAACTCCGACGGCCTCCTGCAGGACTACCTGGCCACATTCCACGATGAGACCGTTGAAGTCCAACTTGCCCTTCTCACAGCCACTGTCAAGTTCTTCATCCAACGTCCTACCAAGGGCCAACAGCTTGTCCCCCAGGTGCTCAAATGGTGCACCGAAGAAACCGACGACCCTGACCTCCGCGACAGAGGCTACATGTACTGGCGTCTGCTATCCACCGACCCCAAGACCGCGAAGCAGATCGTCATGGGCGAGAAACCCCCCATCAGCGCCGAAAGCGAGAAACTCGACTCCCGCACCCTCGAGGAGCTCTGCCTCAACGTCGGCACTCTCGCTACCGTGTACCTGAAACCCGTTCAACAAGTTTTCCGCTCCGCACGCACGAGACGCTTACAGTACAGCCCTGCGCTGCAGAAACCCAAGGAAGAACCCGGCAATGCTGTCTGGCAATTCCCTGCTCCGTCGCAATCCAACAGCCCAACCGCCGCCATGGCAGCCAGCGCATCTGCCCCCGCCGACATGAACGCGGCCGTCAACGCTGCCGACAGCTACTTCAATAGTGTTGGTACTCAGCAAATGGCTGCGCTGGACCTGGGCGGTCGTGAAGACGGCGGTGTTGGCGGTGGCGGTGCTCCCCAGACGCAATATGTTGTTACTCAGAACCAGCAGCAGGTGTATCAGCCGCAGCTGGCGGGTGGAGCAGCCACGGGTGAGTTGTTGTTGCTGTGATTGTATCAGTGTAACATTCTGTGCTTCTATTATTTTTCTTCCTGCTAGATAGGTTCTTAATTTTTTGGAGCGGTTTATCAATTCGCAGGCAGGGACTTGTGATGTACTCTTTTTCTGTCCTTGATTGTTCTTCTGTTTCTATTGGATATGTAGGTAATTATGCATTGTTAGGGCATGAATAATAAGATAAGACCGTGGTATGTGATACATCGATAGCATGTCGAGCATAAGCATGATGATAACTGTATGACTGCATCAATGTTGTGCTTCCAGAGCACAGCATCCCATTATCACCATACGAACCCAACAATAATCATGGTGAAGATGGACTAGCATAGTAATTAATCCCCATCCATACGAGCCAACCCACCCCGACTGCGCTTAATCCGCTCATCGAGACTATCCTCCTGAAGCTGTTTATGCAGCCCAGACACAAAGCGACCCTTCTCCGAGCGATGCTTCTCATCTTCTTCATGCTGCTTCTCTTCCATCGCAGTGACCTCCGCAATGCGCTGTCGACGAGCATCTTCCATCTCGCTCGCGTTCGCTTGCATCTCTGCTAGCTTGCGCTGTCGTTCTTCCTCTTGCTGCTTGCGCTTCTGCTCTGCTTCTTCGGGGCTGGGCTTGTCGCGGGTGTATGTATCTCTGTCTCGAGGACGATAGTCTCTCTTATCTTGGTGGTAGCGACTGGATCGGTCTCGGTCTCTGCGATCACGCTCACGGTCTCTGTCTCGAGAATCTCTGTGCCCATCGCTTTCTCTCCGATCATCGGCTCGCCGTCTGTCAGAGTGATGGCGATCCGCAGGGGATCGATCCTGTCGCGACTCTCGCCGGTCATACCGGTCTTCACGATCTCGATGATCCCGATGTCTGCTAGAGCGATGGTAGTCCCGATCACTGTCCCTCTCTCTTCTATGATCCCTCTCACTCCTCCTATCATCCCGATCATGTGTATCTCTCCGCCTCCTCTCCGGCGACCTCGACCGATGCCTCCTCTCTCTCTCCCTCCTCCTCTCCCTATGACCATCCCTATCCCTATCCCTCTTCTCTCCCTTTGAAGAAGATCCCTTCCTAACCTCCTCCCTAACCATCCCCTCCAACGCCGCCTGCTCCCTCTTCCTAATCTCCAACAGCGGATCCGCCAACACCTTGGCCATAGTATCTCTGGGATTTGCCTGCGCCACCGCACCACCACCTCCAAGCGTCGCATTAAACTCCGCCCCCTTCTTCAACCCCTCCGTCCCACCACCATCCTTCTTCAACAGAACGCCATCGATCCGTCTCTTCCCCAGAAGATACCCCTCCATTTCCTCCGCGTACATTCCTCCACCTGCTCCTCCGGCCCCAGGCTCCTGATACATCCAGTCCACGCGCTGGATCTGCTTCGGTTTCCCGGACCCTTCTTGTAGCCGCTGGAGTTCTTGGATTTGCCGCTCTTCGTCGCGCTCGCGCCGGAGCTGGTCGATGCGTTTGCGCTCTTCCAGCGCGCGTTTTTCTTCTGCCCATACGCGCTCTTGGTTTCGGAGGAGGGAGGGGTGCCATGATCTGTTTTGGGAGTGGTATCGCGTTAGCGCGGATGGGGGACAGAGAGGAGAGGAGGGTTGGGGGGAGGGGGATAGGTTTACTTCTTCAAGTTGAGGTCGCCGCCCATTTTGTTAGGGGAGGCTGGGTGGCCAGCTGGTTGTTCTGTGTATGTGGACTGGGGTGTGGATGGGTGGATGAGGAAGAAAGAGGTAGGTGTGAGAGGTGATGGATGGAGGTGAATTCCCGATGAGGAAGTATTGTATTGCCACTCACTCACTGCCGCTGCCTGATTTGCCGTCTTGTGCCTGAGGCATTAATATACTTACTACTACCTACGTTCGAACGGTGATTGTTTCTATGGTCTACAGCAAATGGACTTTACATAAAAGATGTATTCGCACTATGCAGTAAACGAATGACAAATTAAGCACATATGGATAACATCAATAGGTACATACAACAAGAATGTTAGTTAACATATCACAGAGGCAATCGAGGTTTGTCCGCCTGCGGTCCATGTACCAGCGGCATTAGATATACCAGAATCAAATCATTTACTCGTCTCTGCTCATCTCAACCCTTCACAGCACTTCACTTCTCTTCATACTGTACTTATTTCTCCCAGCCCACATAGCTCCGCGGCATCACTCGCCACACCTTGCATTCACCACTGCGGAGGTCGTTGAGCTTGAAGCTCTCCATCTTGACCTTCTTGCTTTCACGGCCCTGCTCCCAAGCACGGATCTTCTTCTTGGTTCCGTCCCAGTCAACCACAATGGCCACGTGATCAGGCTTGCCCACTTCCGCACTGTACTTCTGGTGCATCGTGCCGCGATGTCCCTGGAAGCGTGCGTTGCGGAAGCTGACAATATCACCGGCGCGAATCTCATCGTTCTGCTGCACAGAAGCATTGGCTAGATTCGAGTAGACCAAAGCGCCATACGCGCGTGTGCCAACCGGCTTAAGGGCATCCGACAAGGGACTAAGCACGTGCTGGACGAGGCCAAACGGAGTGCCGTCCGTAACGGTAGTGTTCTGAACGGAATTGGCCGTGGAGGCAATGTGAGTGCCGATCTGCAGATGTGCGTTCTCAAGTTGATCCTGGCGAGGCTGGATAGGAGGAGCCTCGTGGCGCTGCTCAAAGGCAACGTCCGTGGGATTCCGAGCGTCGAAGTTGACCGTAATCACCGTTTGCGAATGGTCCATGAAAAGAACGTAGATGTCTTTGGTTACCATGGTCTTGCCACCTCTCTTGGAAGAACTGGACTCCTCAAACTCAAGCAATATGTCCTTGCGGTTCTGAAACACGGGAGGGGGAGTATTGTGCTGCGTCCACCAGAGCGTATTCTCTGCCAGGTCTACGTCCATGGCGATGAAGCCTTGGTCCACGGACGGACGGCTGACATCCATAGAACGCCTCATGCTAGGCTGCGCTCTGGGGACATCGAGCGATGCACGGTTGCTACGTGGTGTGGGTGGGGGTAATGTGGGGGGCGGGGGCGCCATCGAGGTTCTCTTCTCAGACTGCGAGAAAGTTGACTCGGGGTGTGATTGCACTGGAGAAGCTTCATAGAGCTCCTCCGGTTCTTCCTCTGCAGGCTGGGAAGGGATCACAGGCGGTAGCTGTGGCGGCCCAGCGGGAACAGGTGGGGGCCCCCTTGGGGTAGGCAGTCCATGTTGCGGAGCATTGTAACGGTACGGATCGTACTCATCGTCATCGCCTCCGAAAGACAACTCTCGGTGGGGGGGCGGAGGAGGGGGTCCGCGAGGGGAATCTATAGAGGCCCTACCCGCACTCTTAGGAGGCTGGATTGGGGGTGGAGGAGGGACTGCCCTAGGGGCAGTCGGGGGAGGGGGAGGCGGAAGACGAGTCTGTGGCGGGCTTCGAGGAGATTGAAGTGAATGGTCGTCGGTCGTCGTCCCTTCGTCGAAGCTTGAATCACGCCCATGAGCTTTCAGTGCGTCCTTGAACTTGGCACCGGATGCAATATCAGTGTCGTAGTCGCCGTCATACTCGGTGACCTCGCCCTCTACCTCTTCGCCCGCTTGGCGAGACTGTGAAGTCACACTGGTTCGACTATCGGCAGTTGACCTCCGGCGAATATTGGCGGGCGGTGGTGGTGGAGCTGGTCGACTTTGAGCCGGGACGGGTGGGTTGCCTGGAATGGGAGGCGGAGGACGACTGAGTCTCTTATCTGCCGGAAGAGTGGGTGATTTCGGAGATGTGACATCGTACGTTGACGAGCGGCGAGAGTCTAGATGATCGGGGAGCGGAGGAGCAGGAACAGGCTGGCTTGGAGACTGATCGGCTGCCGCAGCGTTCAGGGAGAGATTTCTAGTGTGCAAGGAGAGCTCATCGTCCGATTCGTCGCCTGTGTCAGCAGGAGCAACGCCCTTAGGGGTGGCTTGATCTGTTCCAAGTTAGCATGTGCGGCAAAGGACATTGATACCATGAGAAACTCACGTCCGGGAACAGGGGGAGGAGACAGAGGCGCATCGTGAGGGACAGGAGGTGGAACTGGCCGTGTTTCGAGTGGCGGAGGGGGCGGAGCCGAGCGCTCTGTAAAGAGAGACTAGTTAGTAAGGTATACTAGGATCATAAATAATTTTCGTTCATACCCAAGGGCGCAGGTGGCCTGTCGGTGGATGTACGCCGAGGCGGTTCTTCCTCAACAACATCTTCGACATCGGCGACCTCGTGCGGAGGATGCTTCTCTGTCACAGGACTCGTCTGAGCCTCTTCCTCCTCCTTCTCCACGCTTGGGGTGACAGCAGGCTTGGCCACGTTCATCCCCGGCAGAGCCATGATCGGCACTGGAGGGGCAGTAGCTGGGCCGGATCGTTCATGCTCCCCGCTGGGTCTCTCGGCTTCCACAGGTGCCTTCGGCTTGCGAGGAGCTGCGGCTGGACGAGGCATGCCACCAGGAGGCCCGAAGAAGCCCATCATACCCATTCCACCGCTCATCTTGGCCATTCTTTCGCGAAGCTCCATCTTGCGCTTGACTTCGGGGTCTATCTCTTCCTCTTCCTCTTCCTCTCCTTCCTCGTCCTCTTCTGCACCTTCATCAACCTGAGCTTCGCGTTCTTCGGCTTTCTCCAACTGCCGAGATTCAGCTTGAGCTTCGTGCTGAACCTCCGCACGGGCACGCTCGTCATAGTCTTCCTTGCTCGTAGACGTCTCCTCCGCATCTTCTGTATCAGCGGCGGCTGAATCATCGGCATCGTTGGTATCGCTGACGAGCTCCCGCACTGGCGGGGGAGGCATAGCTGCTTGTGGGGCAGGCGGGTGACTACCTTTCACCGTCTCAACACTGTGGTCTCTCTCAGGCTCGCCAGATGGAGCGTTCTCGGGGGTCGGCTCTTCCACAGGCAGGGCTTCTTCGTGAGACTCGGTGCGCTTCTTGGGAGGAGGGCGCTTGGGCTTGTCCTTCTTCTGGGCAGCTTCAGCGTGACGAGCAGCTTGCTCCATCTGCTGTTTCTGCAAGAGAGCAATCCGCTCCTTCAAGCTAGTCGGCTTGGGCTGCTCCTCCGCACCTTCCTCTGTGCCTCCACTCGACAGCGGCCGAGTCTCGGAAACGGGCGGCTCCCTCGCCAGACGTTCTTGGACCTCAGGATCTTCCTCCCTTCTGTAGATCTTGCGGGGAGCTTCACGGGGCGGGGGTACGTATGCATCTCTACTGGGAGGTGCTGCAACGAACGGCTTCTTGACGAAGGAAGTGTTTTGGGCGCTCAGGCCACCCGGCTTGAAGGGTGCAATTGGGGGTGCTGCGGGTTTGTTGAAAGCAGCAATGCGATCCCTGAACGATGACCCAGTCGGCTTCTCCGCAACGGCGGGAGGTGGGGGCTTGGACGAGGGTTTGGGAGCCGGTTCGCTGATGTCATTTGCAGGGGGCTGAGGGACCGAGGCAGGTGCCGGGACAGATGCCGGGACAGATGCCGGGACAGGTGCTGGCTTCGGGGAAGAGGGAAGCTCACGGGTTGGTGATGCCAACGCAGGAGGCGGCGATTGAGGAGGTTGGGGCACAGCTGCAGGTGTGTCCTCCACTTCGGGTTCTAATGAGCGCGGGGGCTGGGTCGTAGGGGGCTCGACAGCAACAGCGGGCTCCGGAGGAGGCGGCGCAACGTCTGGTTCTCTCTTCGGTCGACTCGGGCGTGTCGGCCGCGGAGGAGCCGGAGGTTCATATCTTTCCACGAAGTTCTTGGGGAATATACCCTCTCGCTTGTGCCCCGACTCGTCGGTATACTCACCAAAGTACCATTCCTCGTCTTCCACCGCCGTCACGGTTACAACCTGACCGATGGCAAAATTAAGGTCGTCATCGTGGTCCGAAGCGTATTCGAAGACCGCTTTGACTGTGAACGGCGGACTGGACATCTGGCAAGTCGAGACGCTGTCAAAGCGGACGTGGTGGGGGGTGATAGAATGGGGAGCGGAGCGAGTGGGAGGCTGGCGGAATGCAAATGACACGGCAAAACAATAATAATTGCAGGTAGTGGAGCACTAGACTGGAAAGCGTCTAATGCAGACAGACATGTGCAGATATGCTTAACAGCGGGGTGGGAAGGTAAGCCGGTATGCTTTGGAGGGAGCAAAAATAACAATAATAATATGTCAGCCTGCTGGACTTGACTGACGTAGTCTGAGCTTTTAGTACCTCCGGAGATCGGAAACACCGCAAGGGGGGGGGAGGGGAGGTGGAGGAGGGGAGGTGAATAAGAAGAAAGAAGAATAGGAAGACTTACTGCAAGTTAAAGACAACAATGTCCACAGAGACGGAGAATATAGGAAATTAATGCACAAGGGTAGGGAAGACAAAAGGAAGGAGTGGGATGGGGGGTTGGTGATGTGGGCGGTGTTGGAAAGGGAGGGAGGGAACTGGAGAGTGAGGAGGAAGAGGGAAGAGGGAAAGAGGAGGGACGGAGAAGCAAAGAGGCACTGAGCACTACGACTACGACCACTACGTACTAACAAGTACTACGACACAACGACCAGAGTAACTGAACACTTCACAACTTCTTCTTGCCTGGCGGGACACTTGCTCCACTCCCGCGGCGATCGGCAGCTAATAAGATTGAACAGCCCGTCAGACACCAAAAAGCCAACAAAACATACGATGGAACAGCTGCCTGAGGGCCGTGGAATTAACCCGGGTGGTACATCATCGCTATCTACACAGGAATGTAGCTAGATAGTCACTATACTATAATCTACTGGTGGCGTGCCTAATGCAGCTTCTATTTCCCCTCCCCTTAATCAATCATGCATGCACCATCACGTATAGTTGTTGGACCTGCCTTTCCCTACATAAAGACCCTTCCTTGTTACTATCCGTAGCTGCCGTCTTGAATCCGGGGTTTTTGCCTCCTGCCGACCCGAACAACCTTGGAACTCTGTCTCATCCATCCAACCTTCCATCCATTTCACCACTACTTTTCCTCCACCAACAAGTGACGCAGATTTGATATTTATCCCGCCTTTTGACCTGTTCCCTCGGGAATATTCGCTGGAATGTCCTCTGGACGGCCTAATCCAATTTTGAAGACCTCTCTTCCTTCGATCCACGCAGCGACCGCTGCGTCTGGCCCCTCCAATTCCGCCCCAAACCATCGGGCGTCACCCTCTAACCCCCTTCAAATGTCTCAACAACAACAACCACTACCTAGCTCAATTGCAAACCGGACAGATGTCGATCCGCGCCATTTAGCTATTGCCTTACATCATGCGAATCAAATCCAGGCCCAGAAGGACACGGAGGTCCTGATTCTCGACCGCATTCTGAGACTGGTTGAACTTCCGTCCTCCCGTTCAGCAGATCCTGCGTCACCCTCCCCCGACGATGTTCGGGAGTTCAAATCCGCCTTAGTCCCCTTTCAACCCGCCGACTACGACAACTTGATTGAGGAGAGGAATATCGAGGGTCTCTGTGGCTACGGGCTATGTCCTCGAGAGCGTCGCAAAGAAGATGGCAGAGGCTCTTTTCGCATAACATGGGGTGCGAAGGGAAGTGGGCGGGGTGGCCGCGGGCGCGAAATGGACATCGTTCCGAAAGAGAAGCTCGAGATGTGGTGTTCGAATGAGTGTGCCGAAAGAGCCATGTACATACGAGTACAGCTGGCTGAGGAACCAGTGTGGGAGCGAAGGGCCGACGATGCGCGTGGCAAACATCTTGTCCTGCTGGAAGAGGCCAGGGCGAAAGAAGGCAAGGGCAAAATGAGAGACCCCGTCTCTATCCGCGACGTTGCTGGCCAGCTGGACAGCATGCACCTGGAGAAACTACAAGGTCCTGGCGATATGGCAGATGATATTGCACGGCTCTCTGTTCGCGACGAGAGTCGTTCACGAGAACTGGCCATGGAACGAGGAGATGTGCATCCTGCCCTCTATACTGGCAGAGTGAATATTCAAGTCCAAGAGAACGATAACCCCCGCGGACCAGCTAGAGCACCGCAGATGCGTCCTGGAGACGAGAAGGGAGGTTCCATCGAAGGATATGTCCCTCATGAGAACTAAGATGCTTTCGCGCATGGCATTATGAGGCGTTTTGAACAAAGGTTGATACCCCGATAAGATAGCATGTCAGATAAGAACCAAATCAATGGCTTACCACTGTCAAGTCTACGATCGACTCTCCGTAGTCCGGCATGTCACCAACAGACAGCCGTCCCCGTAGAATCTCCTACGAGAATCCGGTCGTAAGACCAGACGAGGAGGGAATAAAATTGGCAATCAAGCATCATCCCCATCAGGGGAATCAGCGACACCTTGTTTGACAGAATTCGTGTTCATTTCTCATCCGAGCTGTCTCTAAGCTAAATCGATAGCGGGTGAGCCAACCAGAACAAGCATGGGAAACGCCATGGATCGACCGAAGACAATCAGAACTTTTTCATTTTCCGTTCAACGGCGCAATGATCTACCGGTAGCGGCGGGGGCGCTCCTGAGCCTGCTGCTGGGAGACGGGGATGACGTTGACCTTGAGGTTGTCGAACTAAAGCACGATCGAGTTAGACATGATATAAATCATGAATGGGAACTCTATAAGGGAAAACTTACGCCCATGCTCTTGAGCAGGTCCTTGGTCTCAGAGTCGACGTCGAGCTGGCCGGACTCGGTCTGGGAAACATCCAGAGCGGAGACCTCAGGAACGTACTGATCCTTGCGCTCACGCTCCTCCTCCTGGAGCTTGAAGGAGATACCGCGGACAGGGCCACGCTGGATACGCTTCATAAGGTGGGTGGTGTAACCAGCGATCTATATCCAATTCCATATTAGTATATTGCCATTTGACCATTATATCCGGAATTTCCGGGAGAAAAAAAAAAAGGGTAATCACTAACCTTGTTGCGGAGACGCTTGGAGGCAATGATAGCGATCTCATCGCAGATACGCTTGTTGGTCTCGAAGTCGAGCGTCAACTTGGGGTAGTAACGCTCGATAACGACCTTAGCGGAACGCTTGACTGTCTATTGTGGCGCGCATTTTCGTTAGAATTGATATTCTTTCTTTCCTCCATTATTGCGGTCGTGTATGCTCACCTTGGTACGGACGCGACCCATTTTGGCGGTTTGTTGCTGGCTGGATGGATGTTCGAAAAACCGTCCAAGATGTTCTGATGTCTTTTGCTCCTTCAACTTACCCGTCCCTCGCTTAGGATGTGCGGGTCATGTGATGCGTATCTACCCTGATGTGGATGCCCTATCTGCTGTCACGTGAGCTCTCTTGTCAACGCGGTCGGACGTTGTGCTGGATTATTAAGCGCTATTTATGTATTTCATATGTAACGGACTAGTTAGTTATGAAGATGGCTGTTGCCTTACGGTATGGCAAAACCAGGTTTATAGTGATCTGTATTACTGAGACGTCTTTGAAATTGCAATTTAATTTATACTTAGAATGAGATGTAGCCGGCTTATATCACAAACAAATGAGAACAAGTGCGAAAATAACTATACATTTACCATCCAAAAACCTAATCATACAGCAAAGCTCTCTAAGTGGAAGATAGAACATGTCTGACACATGAGACAAAAATTGCTTGGGACTGAAACACCAGTATTCTAGGAGCCAAGGCTCTTCATGAGGTTACGCGCAACCTCCTCAGTCTCCGCTGCGGCGTTCCGCTGTCTATCCAGTCTCGGGACCACGCGCTGGTCGCCGCGAGCCACGTCAGAGATGCTGTAAGATCCGGGCTTCTTCTGGCTATCGATTCCGTAAGGGGCTTTAGCAGTAGCGCTAGCGCGGTAAGAAGCCAGGCCAATCTTGCCTTCCGAGTCGACAAAGGCCCGGATAGGGGTGGCCCAGTACTTAGCACCACCGGGGATAGAGGCGTCAAAGTAGGCAAGGCCGGCCGGAGAGTCCTGCTCGGTAAAGGTGACAGTATTCAAGTCTTCCACGGCAATACCAGCCACACCTGCAATGGCCTTCGTGTTCTTGCCCTTCCGTCCTCTGGGGCGCAAGATACGTGCCTCCACTGGGCGTTGGTGGGCCTGAGGTCCATACTTGGGGTGATTGTAGATCAAAGCGTGTGATCTTGTGTAAGACAGACCAGCCGAGGGATGCGTCCTTGGTGGTCCGGATGCGACATACTCCGCGGAAGAAAGCTTGCTGCCGGGGGACTGGTAGTATGGGTTGTTGAGTCGGCTGCTCGGTACAGCCGGAGGAGACGGCAGATCCAGAAGCTCGAAGACGACAGGGCCTAGTGAGAACGGATCTGTGCGGAGTTTCTTCAGGTAGCCCTGGAATTCTTCGTCGGTGATCTGGACAGGTCGGAGAGTTGCCAGATCCTGGCCGTTATCTTGAGCTTGCTTCCTTTGCTCGGCTTCGCGCTTGGCGACGAAGTATTCACGAAGCTTCTGTAGGATCTCTGGCTTGTTCTTCCGGACCTTCTTCAAATATGCCTGGAACTCGGCCTCCGTCTGCCCGGCAAGCCAGGGCCCGGAATGCCTGAATTGTCTAGCGCCGGGCTCCTTCAGGCCTTCGCTAGTATGTGTGTTGTCGACATGCGATTCGAAGGGACTCTGGTGTCTGGGAATGATGCTGGTTCCGTACGTGACTCTTGCGGGGAGCGAAACCGGCATGTTAAGCTCCTGGAATTTCTCTAGGGTCACCGTATGATCGGCCGCGGACTCGAAGTCCGTGATGTGTTCGAAGGTATCGAGTGCATTGATTCTGACCACGGGCCTGGAAGATTTTTCGGACGTCGATTTAGCGGGAAGAGGTCTCTTCAAACCCCAGTCACCCCTGGAAAGAGACGACGACGGTGTGACAATGGACGCTCGGATAGGATGAGGAAGGGTTGCGGTCTCGGATTCGTTGACACTTTTCGAGGTTGGCGGAGTCTGGGGTGGCGTCAGAGCCTGTGGAAGGGCGAAAAGGCGAGACTTCCGCAGCAAGTTCGCTGTCGGAGATAGCCTGGCTGTTGCCATGGCGGACATTGGGCAATGTGGTGTTTTGCGGTCTTGTTCTATCTCCGGAGAAAGCTGGAGAAAACTTGGTTGCAATGCTCAAGGCGCGCCAAGCCACGTGATACGGGAAACTACAACCACATCTTGTGCAGCCTCTTTCTTATTCCAACGAATAGTAGCACTGCATTTGCAAGTATCGTCTTGGTTCTATCTAACTTGCTCTTATTTGTCCTGTGTGTTCTAGATCTATACATATAATCTCCGTATATCACATCAGACACCAATAGACGAAAGTGACTTAGCCGTGTCAGCAATGGACTGTTTCAACGTCCGGTATTGGATGCCCAAAACTTCCACGGATCTCTTGTTGTCGTAGCTGTAGATGTCCGCTGGCAAATCACTCGAAGAGCCCTTCGGGGGGAATTTATCTTCAAGTTCAGGGAGCGTTTCTCGTACTATGTCTGCAATCTCTTTGTTGGAGTAATAGCCGGCGGTGACAAAGAAACGCTGACCACCGGCCTCTGGGACCTCTATAGCCCTGACATGCGCAAGTGCAACATCGCGTACATCTACCCAGAGGAACGTGCCGGATGGAGGAATAGCGTCCTTCCACTTTCCCTGAATCAGGTTACTAACTTTCTGGTTCGAAGTGTTGATGGCGTCTAGTGAGTTAAGGTAGTGCACAACAGGCCCGAACACAAAAGGCGGGTTGATAGTCGCAATGTCGAAGTTTGGCTTCTCCTTTTCTACAAAGTCCCAGGCTGCCTTTTCTGCAAATGTCTGCACAAATGGGTCAGATATCATTCTAAGTAAGTCCAAAGCATAGGGCTCTTCACATACCTTGCTCGCACGGTAGGTATTGGAGGCATCCAGGGCTTCCTCCCAAGTTACCGGGTTCCAATTCTTCTCGCTGTACGATTCAGGGTGCTTCTTGGCATTGACAATCGCTGCGAATGAGGAAGTGATAACGACCCTCTTCACCGTTGGAGCATAGGCCTTGATTGCCTTCAGTATACCGGTTGTTCCCTTGATGGCGGGGTCCAAAAAGTCTTTCACTGGATCTTGAACATTGTGGTGAAAGGGCGATGCAGTATGCAGGACATAGTCAAATGGTGGGTCAGATTTGACGGCCTACACGAACATTGATTTAGTTTCGAACGTGGCAAGCAACATCCACGGAAGTATCAGGGAATAGGTGGACACAATAGGAAGCCGTACTTCATCAAAGGCACCCTCTGCCGCGACATTCTTGACAATAACGTAGGAAAGCTTTTCTTTCGGCGTGTTTGGATGAGCCTCTAGAATCCTTTGGCCCTTCTCCTCGGACCTCACGGTGACAACGGTGTCGAAGCTGTGGTGGCCAGGTCAGTGTTGTTATAGGAGCAAGCTGAGCCATTGACGCCTACCCATGCGCGAGCAGAATGTCAACGATGTGAGCAGCAATGAAGCCACTGCCTCCTACAGAAACTGGTTAGCTCCATTGAAAACCATCTCTGAGGGTTTGTAGATCATGATACTTACCACTCAAGAGAACCTTGGGCATGGTTGCTATATTTATACGGGTGAGTCAATTGAAGGCTGAGTTCGTATACAGGGGCACTTAGATGGGTCTGGTTCAGTATTCTACTCGGAGAAGTATGGCAGCACGCCATTGCCTTTATACTTACTCCGGATTGCTACCCCTCCTCAACTTGAACCGTCATATCCCCCACCGAGGTCCACTGTCGCCATTATCGTGGGGATGTGATAGGCTCCCGCCTCGATTACAAATCCCAGGAGAACGGAATTATGGCACTAATGTTGCATGGTTAACTCCGACATTGTGTAAGCCAGTTAGGTGATTATTCTAGCTGGCCTCATCATCTCATGGCTACTACCGATCCAGTCACGGCAGGCGCTGGCTATCAAGACTGCCGAGGACCCCCGGGAAGGTGGATGATGCTCGTGTCCCTTATCCACTATCTACTAACGGCATACCCTCCCCGGCCCGAAAGGGAGCTAGTTACCCTGCGGTCTCGAATGTTGTCATAGAAGACAGCAACTTACGCCATTCGACACTAGATAACGCGAATATCCAGTGATCGGGCTGCATATCGTGCTAAAATAAGGGGCTTTTCCATGTTTACTATGCCCTTCCCAGTAGATGACCTTGGAAGCTAAATCTGTTGATTAGCAAGGATGGTAAAGGCCCCAACACTTATTCAATTAAGTACGCGGCAGAGGCCAAGCTTTCAAAGACAAGACCATCAATAGTATCTACTACGTTAGTAGTATACTATATATAATCTTCATGTGGTAAGTGCCTGTACTGTACTTGTTGTAGAACGCAGATACATGACCCCTCGAATTCAAGTCTTCAGGCTATACAGTATTCGGGGACAGGGAGCAAGATATCATATACCAGGGCCAGAAAATTTTGATCAATGAGAAGAGACTCTCAAAAGCTTTGATCAAACACCACGTACATGATGGTACTTTTGTCGCTATTTGGGCGCAGGCAGCTACTTAATTACCTGCTTACGCTTGTACGGAGTAGTTTAATTGTGCCGACGCCCCGGACTCCGTAGTCCCTCAATAACTATAGGGTGTGCATGTGGCTGATGATCTGCATTACCTCACCGTCAAAAAGTCCCATGACATCTAAGGCATTGAATTTGGGCATCAGAAGACCACTAGTCAAGCAAGGATTGATTCAAGGCACCTCCTTCGGCGAAATGAGAATGTGAACGAGGCTGTACTTGTGCTCGGGTCGCACTGGCTTCAGGGATGCCTAGTCCTAGGGATAAGTTAAACAAATCTAGAAGGAACAATGAAATACTTAATCAGGTAACCGAGAGTATGCGGGCAGCCAATTAACGTACTTCTATAGGCATAATAATCCCTCAAAGACGGTGAATGTAAGGGTAAGATTAGTCGCAAACACCTCAGGCTGCCCCATGTAACCCACCGCGGATGCCCCAGGCCAGAAGCACCTGGTCCGTGCACGATTTCCGAACGCCCTCGACCTCACCTCCCGCATCACTCAACGCCGCCCGTCAACGGCTCTCTTGCCCATGCTCCCTCTGTGCCATCATACATGCCCTAGAGGTTGACTTCAAATGTCCACCCTGGGGTGTGGTTCGCAAAAATGGCGCAAGCAGGTCCTATCACGGACGTTACTCATCGGCTTTTCGCCGAGTTGAAGTCGAAGAATGAGGAGACACGGGTGCGAGCTGCTTACGAGCTTTACGACAACGTTCTCGCTATCTCTCGAGGTATGATATCGCTTCGGATCATCCACTGACTAGCGCTGATTCTGGGTCTTTATCTTAGACTGGTCCCCCGAGAAGTTTTTGGAGTTTTTTAACGCGGTTAGCCAGCGCATAGCACAACTGGTAGTTACTGGGAATGACGCACACGAGAAGATCGGTGGCCTGTTGGCCCTTGATCGTCTGATAGACTTTGAAGGAGTAGACGCTGCGCAGAAGACCACTCGGTTCGCCAGTTACTTGCGCAATGCTCTTCGCAGCAACGACAATGCAGTATTGGTCTATGCTGCTGCGGCTCTTGGCCGTTTGGCTAAACCAGGCGGAGCTCTGACTGCGGAGCTGGTGGAGAGTGAAATACAATCTGCTCTGGAGGCCCTTCAGTCAGAACGACAAGAAAGCCGACGGTTTGCTGCCGTGCTCGTTATCCGGGAGCTCGCGAAAGGCTCACCCACGCTTCTTTATGGCTTCGTTCCCCAGATCTTCGAGCTAATTTGGGTCGCTCTGAGGGATCCCAAGGTTCTCATACGGGAAGCTGCGGCTAATGCTGTCAGCGAGTGCTTTGATATAATCGCTGCTAGAGATTTGCAGGTTCGGCAGCTATGGTTCTCAAGGGTATACGAGGAAGCGCTTTTAGGTCTCAAATCAAGCAATGTGGATTGGATACATGGCTCGCTCCTGGTTCTCAAGGAGCTTCTCCTAAAGGGCGCCATGTTCATGAATGAGCACTACCGAAATGCCTGCGAGATAGTCCTCCGGCTCAAGGACCATCGTGATCCGAAAATCCGCACTCAGGTTGTTCAGACAATCCCGATTCTCGCCTCCTACGCCCCCCTTGACTTCACAGAGACGTACCTCCACAGATTCATGATCTATCTCCAGGCCCAGCTTAAAAGAGATAAAGAACGGAACGCCGCGTTCATCGCTATAGGAAAGATCGCGAATGCTGTTGGGGTCGCCATCGCACAATATCTCGATGGCATCATCGTCTATATCAGGGAAGGTCTAGCAATGAAAGCGTAAGTCCCCAAGCCCCAGTGCACCTAGGTGGCAGTATAGCTAATATACCGAAGGAGGAACCGAGCTGCCGTTCAAGAAGCGCCAATGTTCGAGTGTATCAGTATGCTGTCTTTGGCTGTAGGCCAGGCGCTCAGCAAGTACATGGAAGCATTACTCGATCCCATTTTCGCCTGCGGGCTTAGCGAATCCTTAACCCAAGCGCTGGTCGACATGGCTCACTATATTCCGCCAATAAAGCCCATAATCCAAGAAAAACTACTGGATATGCTAAGCTTGATTCTTTATGGCACTCCTTTCAGGCCTTTGGGGTGCCCAGAGAGCAGATTACCTCCAATGCCCTCATTTGCACGGGATTTCGCCCCTCAAGAGCTACACTCTGACACGGAGATCGCCCTTGCATTGCACACACTAGGCAGTTTTGACTTTTCGGGCCATATTCTGAACGAATTTGTGCGGGACGTGGCGATCAACTATGTCGAGAATGACAACCCTGAGATCCGGAAAGCTTCAGCACTCACCTGCTGTCAGCTGTTTGTTCATGATCCTATCATCAACCAGACAAGCAGTCATTCGATCCAAGTCGTCAGTGAGGTAATCGACAAGCTTTTGACTGTTGGTGTTGGAGATCCCGACCCTGACATCCGACGTACTGTCCTGTGGTCCTTGGATAGGAAATTTGATCGGCACCTAGCTAGACCGGAGAACATCAGATGTTTATTCTTGGCTGTCAATGATGAAGTGTTCCCCGTCAGAGAGGCTGCGATCTGTATCATAGGTCGCCTTTCCAGTGTCAACCCTGCCTACGTCTTCCCACCGCTGCGGAAGCTGCTTGTCAACCTTTTGACAAGTCTCGGCTTTGCTAGCACTGCACGCCAAAAGGAAGAGAGTGCCCAGTTGATCAGCCTGTTTGTTTCGAATGCGACGAAATTGATCCGGTCCTATGTTGATCCTATGGTGACTACACTGCTACCCAAGGCAACCGACGCCAATCCTGGTGTCGCTTCCACTACATTGAGGGCCGTTGGTGAACTTGCAAACGTGGGTGGCAGTGAAATGAAAACATACCTGCCGCAGCTTATGCCGATTATCCTGGATGCGCTACAGGATCTCTCTTCTCATTCCAAGCGCGAGGCGGCCTTGAGGACACTGGGCCAGCTGGCCAGCAACTCCGGTTACGTTATTGATCCATACCTCGAATATTCTCATCTACTCGCAGTCCTTATCAACATCATCAAGACCGAGCAAACCGGGTCTCTGCGTAAGGAGACAATCAAATTGCTGGGTATTCTTGGAGCCTTGGACCCCTACAAATACCAACAGATCAGCGAGACCGCGCCGGTAGTTCATCACATCAATGAAGTGCAAACTGTATCTGATGTCGCGCTTATCATGCAAGGCCTCACGCCGTCCAGCGAGGAGTACTACCCTACAGTTGTTATTAACACGCTAATGCAAAACATCTTGCGTGAATCGTCTCTTGCGCAGTATCACTCTGCAGTCATTGATGCCATTGTGACGATATTCAAGACCCTTGGTCTGAAATGCGTACCATTCCTTGGACAGATAATACCAGGTTTCATATCGGTCATCAGAGGATCACCCCCGAGCCGCCTTGAGTCGTACTTCAATCAGATGGCGATTCTGGTCAATATCGTGCGGCAACACATACGAGCCTTTTTGCCCGAGATCATTGAAGTCGTCCGTGAATTCTGGGAAGCTTCCTACCAAGTTCAGGCTACAATACTCTCGCTCGTGGAAGCGATCGCCAAGTCATTGGAAGGTGAATTCAAGAAGTACCTTGCAGGCCTGATCCCTCCGATGCTCGACACGCTTGAGAAGGACACCACGATGCGTCGTCAACCTTCGGAGAAGATACTCCACACATTTTTGATATTCGGTACAAGCGGAGAGGAGTATATGCACCTGATTGTTCCCTCCATCGTGCGACTTTTTGACAGGACTCAAAACCCCCAGAGTATCCGAAAGTCCGCTATTGAGACCCTCACCAAGCTTTCACGGCAGGTGAACGTCTCGGACTTCGCATCATTGATGGTCCATTCTCTGTCCCGGGTTGTTGCAGGCACCGATCGCGTGCTGCGACAAGCTGCTATGGACTGTGTCTGCGCGCTCATCTTTCAGCTAGGCCAAGACTTCAACCACTACATCCACCTGCTGAATAAGGTCATAAAGTATAACCAGATCAATCATGTCAACTACCACATCTTGGTGACGAAGATACAAAAGGGGGATCCGCTCCCACAAGACCTCAATCCCGAGG